TCTCACCAGGCGGCACTGGCTGGCCCTTCCCACCCGGCCATGTGATCCTTAGAGCCCAGTTGTGAGATAGGACATATCTCAGTTCTAGAGAGAGAAACAGGCCCCACAGGTAGGAAACAGCAGAGTCCGTGCGGGGACGGCCTTCGGGGCGTTCATGTCTTAAACACCGCGACACCCCTTTCCGAGACGAGGAAGATTAGTCCAACTTTGAAAACGGGTCAGATGTTGTTCAGGGTAGAAATGAGTTTTTGCAAACCTTTTAAGTTTTGTTTTTCCAGAGAGTATCAGGGGAACAATCTGGGGGGGAGGAGGGGGGACACAGCAGGGAACGTGACTGAATCAGCTGCCTGATGAAACAGCCAGGATGGAGCCCACGTCACTGCAGGACTCGACAATGTTGCTGAAAACATCAGCCGCTTATTCCCATATAAATTTCCCTTTAAGACATGAAAGGGGAGTTCAAAGAGAAGGGGCCAGCCAGCTGGGAAAGTTACATTATGAACATGCATTTCTTTTTCATTGTTGTTGTTTTGGTTTGGGGGGGAGGTTGCTTCAGTGAGAGTTGAGCTCTCATTAGCATCATAGCAAAAAATCACTTTTACTGATTTTTTTTCTAGTTTATATTGTAAATTTGGGGAGTACGGGTTTACGTTCAAAACACACAGTAGTCAAGTTTTATTTCTCACAGCATTCAGTTCAGTTCAGTTCAGTTCAAACGCTCATTGAGTCCCTTTCATGAGAACATGCTATTCCAGGGACTAAGACGCGGCCCAGACCTCAGAAATCTCCCTGCTTCTAGAGCTGTGTTGTCCTGTGCAGTAACCATGCAGCTTTTTAAATTTCAAATAATTAAAGTAAAACATTCAGGACCTCAGATGCACTGACCACATACCAAGGGCTCCATGGCCAGGTGTGGTTACCGGCTACCATGTGGGGCAGGGCATCGATACAGAACACTTCCACATCCAAGAAGGTTCTACTGGACAGCACTGCTCTGGGGCAGAGAGCCTCTGGTTCGGGAATTATGTGGCCCCAGCTTTGTGGGTGGGGCTTTGTCTACTCTCAGAGCATCACGTGGGAACGCACCAGCCTCAGGCTCAACGCTTGGAGACATGGATTCAGATTCTGCTTCTGACCTATATTGACCTTGGGGAAGGCCTTTTGCCCCTCACCTGCCCCCCCATGCCAGTTTCCTCACAGGTAAAGCAAGGACATTAGACCACAAGGTTTCTACAACTCCTTCTGTCCAAACATCCTGTAATGCTGTGAGTGAGCTGGTAGAACATCGTGTGTGTGTGTGTGTGTGTGTGTGTGTGAACAGCTAAAAGAAACTACAAAGAAAAAGTCCTTCTCCCAAAATATCGTTTTTATTTTAGAAATTTATTTGCAGATTCACTCTAATTTTGATTCTAAAAGTCTATGTATGCAGGCCTAAATGTGCCAAACTGATTTTTAAAATGAGGTTATTTCATTATTCATTTTTGTAGCATGTCAAGGTCTCCCTAAAAGAGGATTAAATTAAAATGTATATACTCTATTTTTTTTCCTTTATTGATATTTAGAGAGAGGGAAAGGGAGAAGGAGAGAAAGACAGAAACATCAATGAGAGAGAACATCGATTGGCCGCCTCCTGCACGCCCCCACTGGGGATTTGGCCCACAACCTGGGCATGTGCCCTGACTGGGAATCAAACTGGCGACCTCTTGGTGCATGGGTCGATGCTCAACCACTGAGCCACACCAGCCAGGTGTCAAATGTATATACTCTAGCAGTTTTGCTTGATGCCTCCTTGCCTCAGCAGCAGGCAAACAGCCAGTGCTCTGTCCCCATCACCATGGTGTGAAGTCCTGATAAACACTGGGAGCCTGGTCTTGGACTGGGGTGCAAGTCTACATATTGGTTTTCCCCCTCTCACCCCTCAAAGCATAAAGTAGCAAACCCTGTGTTAATTCTACCTAGAAAAAATGTAACGTTCACTGAGGACCTTTAGCGTCATGAGGTATTTAAGTCCTTCATCTCACTTAAGGACTGGCCAGTGTTAGGCTGGGCAATGCCTATTTGCAAAAGAATGGCCGACTAAAGAAAGATTTCATTTCCCTTAATTCTATGATGTGTGCCTACATTTACTGGTATTACAGAAATGCCAATTCCATTTCATTTTAAAAGAACTATCTTCTTATTGCGGTGTCCGTGAAGCCTTTGCTGCTAGATTTTCTCATGCACCGTATTTCTCTTTCCTATATCAGCTGGAAAACTAATAGCTTCCTTTGTTTTCTTCCTTTTTATCTGGAAGACTGAGAACATTACAGGGGACCAGCTCCCAGGATGTGGAGTCTGGGGCGGGCCATCTGGTTCAGAAGGCCTGAGGAGGGCTGGATTGCAACACCTTGTTCCAATCCAGCTCCTCGGTGAGCGTCTGTTCTGGTTCACCCTCTAGCACGCTGGGGGCCTTCAGCAGTGAGGGGTCTTTGGAGAAGGCGTTGGGTTTGCCTGTTTCTTACCAGCACAGCAGGCGCTTGGTGTCTGGTTAGGTTCTTAGGGTTCGTGCTCCTTTCTCACTTCTTCATTTCTCCTGGTAATTGTTGTGGGAGCAACTGAACTGGAATTTGATACCTGCTCTACCACTTTGGGGAAGTTCCTCAGCCTCTTCGAGCCTGTGTTGCCTGGGCTACAGAGCGAGGATAAATAACAACGGGCTCCTACCTTACAAGACAGTGTGGGCAGCGGAGGCCTGGGACCCAGCAGTGCCTGCGGCTCCTGATGGGGGAGGGGACCGCCTGCCAGATTCCAGCTGTCTGACCCCTGGCAGGCCTCCCAAGTTCAGTTTCTCTTCAGTGAAATGCGGATCCCAGGTAACAGTGAGAGTGCGCTTGTCCTTTACGTCTGCCTGACGTCACCAGCCTTCTAACCACTTTGCCCCACCAGTGATCCTTTGGAACCATGATCTGATCCTACAGGTCATGCCCCAGCTTGAAACCCTGCAATAACCCCTTGGGGCATTCTTATAAAGGGATTGCGCAGAATTCTCCTGGTTTTAGCACAGAAAGCCTCCTGTCCCAGGAAACCTCTCCGTTAGTTGGTCACATGACAGAGTCTAGCAAAGCAACCGATCTGGTCCCCACCCACCTTCCCAGTGCTCAGCTCTCACCTCCCTTCCCAGTGCTCATTTCTCTTCACCTACACAATTCAGTGCACATTGGAATTGCCCGGGAGTGTCCGGCAGAATGCTGGTGCCCAGGCCCTGCCTCTTGAGACTCTGATGTCATTGTTTGGAGTGTGGCCTGAGTGTGGTATACTTTCTTTTTTTTTTTTCTTTTTAATCCTCATCCGAGGACATTTTTCCATTTTTTGTACAGATAGAGTGAGAGGGAGAGAGAGGAAGAGAGAGAGAGGGAAACATCGATGTGAAAGGGACACATCGAGTGGCTGCCACCCGCACGACCAACCAGGGCCGGGGACAAACTGCAACCGAGGTACGTGCCCTTAGCGGGAACCGAACCCGGGTCTCTCAGGACCGCAGGCGGATGCTCTAACCGCTGAGCCAAACCGGCCAGGGCCTTTCTTTTTTAAATATTTTTTTCTTTATTGATTTTAGAGAGAGAGGAAGAGAGAGATAGGGACATTGATGAAAGAGAACACTGATTGGCCACCTCCTGCGTGCCCCCCACTGGGGATTTGGGCCACAGCCTGGGCATGTGCCCTGACCAGGAATCGAACCAGCGACCTTTTGGTGCATGGGTCGACGCTCAACCACTGAGCCACACCAATCGGGCATGGGTATCTTTTCAAAGCTCCCCAGTGGCTCTAAGGCACAGCCGAGGACGGGGCCACTGCTCTGTTCTTGCAGCTCTGCAGACATCCCATGTGCGGTTCCCTGGGCCTGCCTCCACCTTTCTCCTGCGTTCCTCCCGTGGGCGAATTCCTGCCCATCTTCATCCTACTCAGGAGCCTCTTTCTCCAGGCAGCCCTCCGGGAGCGCTCCGGGTGGGTTTAGCGTAGGCCTCCCCAGGTCCCAGACTGCGCTGGGCTTGCCTCCATCAGAACCCGATCATTCCGTATTCTGATTGCGGCTTTGCTCCAGCCCTCTCCCTCATTAGGTCTTGAGTTTCCTTCGGGAAGAGATTTTATCTTTCCTCCTTGTATGCCTGGAGCCAGGCAGGCTCTGGCACATTGCAGGCTCTGAGTAAGTAGTCGGTGAACAAATTAATCAAGACAAGGCCATCTGACCTCTTGTGAGTTACATTCTAAGAAACAAACATCCACACAGTAACCCTAGTGGATTGCAGGAACCAAGACAGTTAAGGAAAAAAAAAAACAGATCCAAGTACTTCAACAAATTTATAAATAACCCCTAATATTTAAATGAAAAGAAATTCTTAGTTTCGCTCTTCTGTGGGTAACGATTATTTTCTATTCCAGGGGGAGAAAAAAAGATATATTAGGAAATTCCTCCTTTACCAGCATTACCTGTGGTACAACCGCTTGGAAATGGCTCTCTGACTCGTTCTGGCTCTGTTAGCCTTTCTTCCTCCTTGTTCTCCCTCAGCTGGCCGCCCTCGCCTGTTTGCAGAGAGGCAGGAAGGTTGGCTGTTTCTGTCTTTAAAACTCTGTTATCGGCAGGCTTTCTGATCTTCAAAGCAGCCTGTATTCACTGTGACCCCACTCCCCCGACGCCCATGCTGGGGAGTGAGAGCGGTGAGCGTTGTCATTTTGACAACTTGCATATTTGGACAGCCTTGGAGAGCCGGAGAAGACAGACCTCACTGAGTCTGCAGGGTTTAGAGCCAGTCAGCATTTCCTAGCCCCCTTTCACCCCCGAATCTAGACACACTGAAAAATTGACACCAGACTCCAGAGTTATGCAAACAGTAAGTTTATAGATTCCCTTGGGCCTGACCCACCCTCCTGGGGCGACCGCTCTTATCCTCTGCCCTTTATGGCAACGGAGTCTTTGCCGTTGGTGTTCCTCACACTGTCCCAACCTTTGTGATGATCTGTAGTGCTTGGACCTGGACAAGTTTGAAAGCTACGATGATGAAATTCAGCTCACACAACGAGCCCTGGCTCTGCTGGAGGAAAACAGGTTCTGGGCTGGTGTGGTGTTTCCTGACATGTACCCCTGGACCAGCTCCCTACCACCCCACGTGAAGTACAAGATCCGGATGGACATAGATGTGGTGGAGAAAACCAATAAGATCAAAGACAGGTGATGTTTCAGGCCATCTGAGAAGGCCATAAGCATCCCCAGGGATATAAGAGGCAAGGAGAGGGGCCACCCATCTCTTCCTAGGACAGGAGAGTCACTTGGAAAGGCAGAAGAACACTTTGGTATCAAAGAACTGAACTAAACCGTTGGTGGGACCAGGAGAGCTCAGTTGTCCTGTCTCCATACCTTCAGCTCAGCCCTTCTCCCTGGCTGGCTTCCATGCAACTTGGAGATAGAAACTTCTAGGGACGGAAGTATCTTCCTATAAAGATTCTGCAAATGGGGTTTCTTCAAAGTCACTGAGAAATCATGTTTGGTACACAGTAAGGGATTGAGACTAGACTCAGTTTCTAAATCAATACAATTAAGTGAGAGAAAAGAAGAGATTCTGTAAAGCTCAAAGCAGAGTCCTTGAATGAAAGCAATGACAAGAGACGTGTGGCTTATGGTCAGAACTGACATTCAAAGTGAGAACTAGAAAACAGAATTGTGTAGCTCGGAAAGGACCCAGGGGAAGGCTTCAGGAGAGTGAGTTCCGAGTCACTGTGTACTTGTGGGGTGTGTGCGAGCTGCCCATTGCCTTCCCAGCCTCACGCCTCCCTCCGGTTCTTCGCAGGTACTGGGATTCCGGTCCCAGAGCCGATCCCGTGGAAGATCTCCGGTACATCTGGGGCGGGTTTGCCTATCTGCAGGACATGATTGAGCAGGGGATCACGCGCACTCAGACCCAGGCTGAGGTTCCGGTGGGAGTTTACCTCCAGCAGATGCCGTACCCATGCTTCGTGGACGACTCGTGAGTGGGAGGCTCCCGGCCCCACTCTTGGACAAGTTAATTGGGTTGCTGGGTGGAATGGGGTGCTCCCCAGACTTCAGTCTCTTTGGAGCGAAACTGGGGGACTGGGGCCAGCTTGGAGAGAATGGAGCTCTGACTGAGGAGTGGGCCTCTCCCAGGCTCCTGGCAGGAACAGATGGGCAATGAAGTGGCAGGGAGAAAGGAGTTGGTGTTGTGGGTGCAAAAGGGAAGGTGAAAATTAAATCAAGGGAAGTGAGGCTGGGGGAGGGGATGGCGGCTTTCAAAATTTCCACTACAGAGTATGTTTGGTATGTGGAAGGGTTCTGGTCAGTGTTTGCCCAATGATTGCCAAATCAACAAATGAGAACTCTGCATTGCAAGTAGGTCTGGTTCCTAGGAGCCTCGGAATAATGCAGCTCCTTCCCTCATTAACATTCCCACGATGTGTGCCCAGTGAAAAGGTGGAAGAATGTGTTGGATGAGCTCAGGTCCTCCCTGCCTGCCCACCCCCATTCCCGGGCCTGTACAGTTGTTGGCCAGTAACAAGCTTAGCAAGTAACCTAGTGTTTTCTGAATGTGCATTTGGGGGATGGGAAAGAGAGGCACAGAGAGGTAGAGGGGGGCTGGGAGGGCTCATTTACTATGGTGGGTGGGGGCAGAAATGCTCCCAGGATAGAGCCAGACACCTACAGTTGACTTAGGGATTCAACTCCTAGAAAAATCTAGGAAGTTCACCGTAGTATACATGAGTGTCTGCGGGATTCAGGGAGGAGAGAAACACACACAACCTGAAGGAGGGAAGAGTCGAATTGCCAGCTGGCAAGATGGTAAAATAAAGCCCAGTATGGGCACAGGAAACCCTCTTTCAACATCCTCATCCAATCCATTCTCCTTCCTCGGTTCTACAGAAGACTAAAAAGATAACAGTGGCCATTCTGTAGTCAGTTTGGGTTTGGACAATAATCAGAGATGGAAAGTGGAGCCAGGGGCAAAAGTCCAAGTTCCACTTTTAGGATCAGAATGAGAGTGGCTGGCACAGAAGTGGGGTAGACAGTGAGGAGACAGTAAGGATTCTGGCCATTTGATGTGTGAGAGCCCTCTGGTGGCAGGGACCAGAAGTGCAGGCTTTATGAATTCATAAATCTCTCCCTAGGGCCATCTTGACTGAAACCTCTCACGCTGTAACTGGGCCCTTCCTGTGACACCCAACAGTTTTCTTTCTTTCTTTCTTTCTTTTTATTTTTTTGGTTAATCCTCACCCAAGGAAATTTTTCCACTGATTTTTAGATAGAGCGGAAGGGAGAGAGGTGGGGAGAGAAAAAAACACTGATGTACGAGAGACACATTGATTGGCTGCCTCCCACACTACCCCAACCAGAGCTGGGGATTGAACTGCAACCCAGGTACATGCCCTTGACTGGAATCAACCATGAGACCCTTTGGTCTGCAGGCAGATGCTCTAACCACTGAGCAACCAGCCAGGCCACCCAACAGTTTTCAATAGATAATAATTCCAAGGGATTTACTAACATATCAAGCATAGGGAAAACATGTGTAAAGTTCACAAAGAAGTAATTCTAGATGATCAAATCTACCCTGCTTGCTGGAATGGATATCCATAGATTTACTCCACAGGTACAAGGCTATTGGATCACTGATTGATTTATTATTGATAGTCTTCTGAAAGTGCCACACTGATTAGTTATTTTGTGCCTCTTCCTACATATATGGGGTTTGATCCTCCAGGGCAGATAGTACTACCTGCTTGGGGAGCCCAAGTATTGATCTCACCACCACCAGTTCTCTTTGTGGTCCACATTCTTAGACACTACAGTGTCAGTTAATATATATCTGTCTACTCCAGTCACGTGCCACATCCTACAAGATCTTACAAATAGGCATAAACTGTGTAACATACATAGTATGATTTTATTTACACATTTTACTTATAGAGCATTCGTCTGGGCCAACCAAAAAGCTACCATCTTGCTTTAGAGAAACAGTAATCTTTCAGGGAAAAGTATGAAAAGATTCAAGCCCACTGGAGATTTCCCTGCCTTTCCCTTCACCAGGGCTTTGCTCTCAACACATTAATTCCACAAATATTTACTCCGCCTCTACCAGGTATAGGGAATTCTATTCTGCTTCTCTCCTCTTGCTTTAGGTTTATGATCATCCTGAACCGCTGCTTCCCTATCTTCATGGTGCTGGCCTGGATCTATTCTGTTTCCATGACGGTGAAGAGCATCGTCCTGGAGAAGGAGCTGAGACTGAAAGAGACCTTGAAGAATCAAGGTGTCTCCAACACAGTGATCTGGTGTGCCTGGTTCCTGGACAGCTTCTCTATCATGTCGATGAGCACCTTCCTCCTGACAGTATTCATCATGGTAAGGTAGATGGAGAAGGCCCAGAATACCTTGAATAGTTTGTTCTCCTGCCTTTCCTCCTGTTAATGAACTTGTGCCTAGATTAGTCATCTAGCCACCAAGGATAGCACGACATGCAACTGCTCGGCCATTTCAGCCAAGGTAGAAGACGTTCAGAAAGACAAAGTCTCACCCAAGAAGTCACTGGTATCATAGCATCTTCCCTGCTCCCACTTCCTGCCCAGGGAGCCACAGTCTACATAGATCAGCCCCTGTCCATGGACTGTCAGGAGAAGCTGCTATTAGCAGGGCCCAGTACAGGGTGATTCTATGTGCAAAGGGTTGTCTCTTTCCAAATACTGAAGAAATTAAGACAAGGAGTGTTTTCTTAGGATTACGGTCCCAACCACCAGCTGGTTGAGAATGTCAAGAGCCTTTTCAGTGTATTAATAAACCTGGACTGTTTATTAAGTATCTTCGTGGTATCACTATGCATGGCTTGATCAGAGAACATTCTGCTGCCTGCAGAATCTTTAAGATGTCTCTATTTCAAAGGATGGAATTTGGAAGCTCTCTTTTCTTAGTGATAGGAATTTTTATAGCCTCAGACAACATGCACAGGTTCATCCTCTGCAAATTTGCAGCTCCCTCACAAGCTAGACCTGGAAACAAAACACCATTTCATTATTTCACAGTTATTTCATATTATTTCACTCTGCTGTCCTTCATTTTTAGTTTCTCCACAGTAGATAATTTTTTGTACTTGTTAAAAGATAGGGACATAAATTTAGGTAGTTTTTTATATTTATTTGATGAGATTTGATATAAGGTTTAGATTTCAGGCTTTGCAAGATCCTGATACAGTGTCACCAAGCTTGTTCTTCCTCTTTACCATCACCACAGTCAGTGACCCTTTGCACTAGGCAACGTGTGTTGACCCACAGCCTCTGATTAAGTGTATGCCATCCATACTGGACCATACCTGGTGCCTACCTGTTTCAGGAATGTTCCATTAAATATCCTGTCCAACCAACACATATCCATTTAAACTGCCCCTCCTCTTTGCAGTAAAATGTACTAGGTCTGAGGGGTTTGGATTTTAGTGTTATACTGAGATCCAGTGAGCTGTGGCCTTAGCCAAACCCTGTGCTAGAGCACTATCCAAACCAATGCTGATGTAGAGGTCATACTACTCAACATGGCCTAACCCAGATGTGGCTTTAAATATGCAAAGGGTTTCAGAGCTCCCCAGAAGTGAGGGGAGAAGCTGAGCACCTTGTCTTCCTCTAGGGGTTCCCTTGTTCCTTCCCAACCAATAGTCTGCTACTTTCCCCACTACCAAGACATCTATGTCCTCAGAACTAAAGGAGTCAAGATGCGTACGCATTTGACTTGCACAAAATGCATCAACCTGCCTGACATTGTGCAATGGCCAGGACACTTGTTGCTGAGATGTGACATTGAGATCTGCCTTCTAGGCATGAGCACTGGAACCTCAAAGCTTTCGGGATGCGAGGTAAAGAATGTTCACAAAGAGATACTGTTTTAGCCCCGAGGGAACCAGAACATTGTTCTAGTAATGGCAGAAACAGAGCTTTCTACAACAAATAGGATTTTCCTTTTAATGATGCTCCCATCTTTCCCTTGTCCTTCCTTCCCAGCTCAGCTTAGCAGGAAAGAAGCTGGAAGCTGGTACAATGGGATGGTTCACTTGTTATTCAAGCTACTAAGAACAAAAAAGAAAAGTGGTCCTTAGAGCAAGCCAAGGCCAATGAAATTATTGGGTTGGCTAAGTGAATTTCATCTCTGTCTTAAATCAGTGAGCAGTTATATAGCCCTAGAAGTTTGTAGGACTTTGCTTTGAGTTAAGAAATGGATGTCATTCTTCTGAGGTTAGCAACAACCATTTTAAAATGCTTCCAGCCAAAAGCCACAGGTTTGGCTGTGGAGTTGCTTTTAGTGCATTGTCTGTGATTAAGGAGATTCAAGAAAAGGAGTGAGCTTTCCAGGGTGGCATGGAGACCTCTTCGAAACAAAACAGGGAGCTCTGAGTCCTAATCTTGACTCTATTTGGATTTCCTCAAAGTTTGGTTATAGTAAAACACGGCTGTCTTCCACCTCTCTTTGCCATTTGTTTTCTTCTATTTTAAAAAAATCTGTTCTACCAAAGCCCAGCAGGCATGAGAGCATGAATGGAAGAGAAATGGTAGCAACAGCAGATACATAGCACATTTGTTCTACTCAACTCTCAAATGCTCATGATGGATCTTGCTAGTTGGTTTCTCTGTTCCCCTGAGAGGAGCCCAGTGCTGCCGGGCACCACTAACAATGAATCAGAACCAGTTCAGGAGATGAACCTTGTTTGTATCTTTATGTTCCCAAGAACAGGGCGACCTATATGTATTTGGAGTTACGTGCAAAGGTGAAAATCCTCATCGGATGCCACAGCAAAGGAGAACCAGGAAGGCCGGATTCATTTGAACATTTAAATTTATTCTATAATATAATTTGGCAGCAGCTCATTTATTAAAAAGAGCTAGTTTGGACCTGTTTTCTACACAGCCAAAGTGATTGAATCATTAGTTCATGTGAAAGACACTGAGTGTTACTCACGGATTCTATGAAATGTATGATATTACGGATGGGGAGGTAGTAATCTGCTTCCAAGTGATATGGATGAATTACTAATATGTTCACCTATGTGAGTGGCCAATCTCAGAATACAAGCACAAATGACTTAGTCAGTGGGCCAGGCCCCAGGCCAAATGTAAAAGCTTGTTGGTGGTCTCCCATCTCCCTCTTTTTGTTTTTAATTTTTATTTTTTTTAGCAGGAACCCATTGCTGCCTTTATATGCTGTACAATGAGTTCGCCTGTTAATTCCATCTCCCCCTTTTGTTCCTCATCTGCTCAGCATATCCCAGAACTGCTCATCCTCCACAAGGCCCTGTGCAGGGCTTCCTCCTCTGCTAACCCCACCAAGGAGTCACTTGATTAACATAACGATTAGTTGGTACTGACAAAGTGTTGTCCTCCTGGGGAAATGGCATTTGTAGAATTTAAGGAACTCAATATGATCAGACCTAAGTGTGGACATTTAGGCACCAACAACAGGCTGGTGGGAGAGATCCCTCTGGGGTGCAAGGCACTGCACAGAGGTCACCCCTTGCCAGGGACAGTGCCCCTGACTCCCGGGGGAAATCACTGACGCGAGGGTGTCTCTGGTTTCAGCATGGAAGGATCCTGCATTACAGCGACCCCTTCATCCTCTTCCTGTTCCTGCTGGCTTTCTCCACCGCTACCATCATGCAGTGCTTCCTGCTCAGCGCCTTCTTCTCCAGAGCCAGCCTGGCAGCAGCCTGCAGTGGTGTCGTCTACTTCACCCTCTACCTGCCTCACCTGCTCTGCTTCGCCTGGCAGGACCGGATGACGGCCCGCCTGAAGATGGCCCTGGTGAGGCCCGCAGGACGCCTCGCGCCGCAGTCCCGCCCTTTGCAGGGATCCACTTTGCCTATTGGCTCAGAGGGACGCAGCGAGGCTGAAGTGGGGTGGGCGTGGCCTGGGTGGGGTGGGCGTGGCCTGACACCGCCTCCTCACCAAGCCCCTGGATGAGCCCGCCCTGGGGAGGAACTGAAGCCCAGTTCAGCTCAGGGTCCTCTGTGTGGCCCCAAGAGGAAAACAGCCAGGCCCGGTTCAGTCCGTTTTCTTTTCCAGGCGTTTGACACAATTCAGAAGGAAGGAGCTTGCCCACCCCTAAGTGTTATGTCCAGAGAGATGTTTCCATGGATTAAAGTTTTGTTTCTCGCCAAAGGAACTTCAGTTGGGGCAGCTCTCCAGATGTCCTTATCATGCTCCCTGGCTGCACAGGGACAGGGGCGCAGATATGAGCCAGTCCAGACCCGCAGGCCAGGAGAGGTCTCCTGACACTGGACTTCTGGTTGTCTGAGGGACCTCTTCGTTCTTAGTTCCCAAACACCCCCGTCTTATTCTTTATTTGTTTTCAAATAGGCTATTTCCCCCTCATTAATGATGCTAGGGAGCTTCTGGGTGTCGGGTGTAGTTTTCCTTGCCCTCGAGAATCTCCCCGCCACAGCTCTCTGTGGTGCAGTCGAGAAACCACGGCCACCTGCTTCTCGTTGGGGAAAGATCTCCGGTCCAAGTACTCTCGCAATTCAAACTTATTTGGCTCCAGAGTTGCCAGGGCATCTGCCTTTTATTTCCCATGTTAAATAAAAAACTAATTGCTGCTATTTATAGCACCCAATTTTCTATAATGATCACAATGGACTAGTGACAAGAAACCCTCCAGACTCTGCCTGGGAGCCGCGCCGATCCATCTGGGCACCCTGGTTAGATGGTCGGTATTTCGAGGCCACAGCTAGATTCGTGGGTGTGTGGATCCTCAGGAAGCGCTAGTTCTTGCAACTGTGTGGGTCACGGCAGGGCTGAGATTTTTAAAACGATTTTTGTGAACACAGAGCTAAAGAATCCCTTCCTTTTGTAGAGACGTAGTCCTCCAGCTATGGGGAGGCCTCTGAGTGGAGGAAATGGGATTAGCCCGTCTCTCTGCTGACGTGCTGTTGGTCAAGTCAGGGCCACGGTGAGGACCTGGCTGGGGACTTCCTCTGCAGACACCCTTCTCTCCACCCTGCCTATTCAGCGGACTAGTACTCTCCACGGGGAACCTAAAAAGAGAGTGTCCCCAGTCTGGAGATGGGAAAAGTTGAGATAGTTGATGTTATCTGAGGCATTTCTGGGCTCTGACAGACCTCAGAGGTCAGGACACCATCCCCGGTGTGGCCCCCTAGCCTGATGACCGTGGACCCGTCTAAGGGGATTGGCACCAAGCAGCTCAAGTTAGTTTCTTTGTGCTACCAAAAAACGCGTAATCTTAACAACGAGGTATAAAGAAGGGGGAAAGGTAGGTAGGAGAACGTGAGGACCTTCTGCCTTTTGGTGTGTTACGCTGTGTTGTGTTTGTCTCTCCCATTACACAACTGTGTTCCATTGAACAGGTGAGAGGTGGCCCGTGGGTGGGAGGCAGGGGTCTCTGAGACCTGAGAGGCATTCCTGGAATTCTTGCCCTGTGGGAAGGTGGGAAGACAGCCTCAACCCCTCCCTGGGGTGGCTTTACCTAGGAACAGAATGAGGACCCTCTTTTGGCCTGCCTCCCTACCTTGTGAGCATCTGGGCACTGTTGGGTTGCTCACCTGCGTGCCCACTTTGCCCACTGCAGAGCCTGCTGTCGCCTGTGGCCTTTGGCTTTGGCACCGAGTACCTGGTTCGCTTTGAGGAGCAGGGCCTGGGGCTGCAGTGGAGCAGTATCGGGAACAGTCCCATGGAAGGGGACGAATTCAGTTTCCTGATGTCCATGAAGATGATGCTTCTCGACGCTGCTCTGTATGGCTTGCTTGCCTGGTACCTTGATCAGGTATTTCCAGGTAAGGTTTCCTCTTCATAGGGTAGAAGTAATGGGGTCTTTCAGATCCCTAGGCCCCCCCTTTTATCTAGTTTAAAGTTCATCCTTTCTAAGCTCTTTCCATTTGGGGTCTCAGAACCAGCATTTGAAACTGAAATTCAGGCGTCAAAAACCCTCAAGTGAATGCTGTCGGCTGCAAGTTGGAAATAGATCCCCAATCTGAGCCCTTGTCACCCCCTCTGCACCAGCTTTCCGGTCCAGGCCTCCTCCTAGTACCACCCCTACCAGTCTGTTCTGCCCACCGGTTTCAGAGATCCTTTCAGACTCCAGGTCCGACAGTGGCAACCTTTCGTCTGAGTCCTTCCAGTGGCTTTTCCTCTTGTTCAGAGTGAAATCCAATGTCCCTACCCTGGCCTGCAAGGTGCTTTGCTATGGGCCTCCGTCTATGTTCCTCATCTCCTGTCACCCCGTGTCTCTCTGTTGCAGCAACACCAGCCTCCTTACTGGTAGTTCTTCAATATACTGTGTTCATGTCCTCCTCAGGACCTTTGCATCTGCTGTTCTCACTGCCTGGAGCACGTTTCCACACAACGCACGTGCGTGCGCACATGCACACACACATGCACACTCATGTCTGCAAGCTTGCTCCCTCACTTTGTTCGGGTCTCTGTTCACATGTCATCTTATCACTGGGATCTTTCCAGACTGAAGCTATCTAAATATCTCCTCCTATGTTAGAAATCATCTTTTAATGCCAATGTCCCCTCATCCTACTTTGTTTTTAAAATTTTTTCAAAAATAATTTTTCTTAATTGATTTTAGAGAGAGAGGAAGGGAGAGAGAGAGAGAGATAGAGACACTGATGAGCAAGAACATTGATTCTCTCTTGCACGCCCCCCACTGGGATCAGGCCCATAACCTGGGCCTGTCTCCTGACTGAGAATTTAACTGGCGACCTCTTGGTGCATGGGTTGATGCTCAACCACTGAGCCACACCGGCCGGGCCCTATTTTGTTTTAAAAATCACCATCTGACGGGGTATTTCTTTATGTGTTTGTGTATTAATCTCTCCCAGTAGAGAACAGGGCCCATGAGAACAGGTCCATAGTCTGTTTTGTTCAGTGTTACCGTTTCAGTGCTTACAACAGTACCCTACTTTGGGTACTAATCTGCATCATGGAGACTCAGCTCCTGAATCAAACTGGATGTTTGCACACTTTTGTATTTGCTTTGTAGAAATCAGATTTCCCTTCAGATGAATCTTCCTTGGTAGCCAGCAGAGCCACACCTCCATTTGGGTGGTCTCCAAGTCAACCACAGCCACCCTGTGCTGCGGCACCGGTGCTGGCTCTGGGAGCTGTGGCCGGGGGCTGGCAGGGAGGGCCTGGGCCTGGCCCCTGGCAGAGGACGTACTGACAGCTGTCAGATGTCCCGCGGCAGCATTTGCTGGAAGAAATATGTAGGCAGCAAGCCTGGAATAGGAAAAAAGAGCACGAGGCTGAGTCAGGAGGCCTGGGTTTGGATCCTAGCTCTGTGACTACATGAATTTCCAGGCTGTCATAACAAAGTGCCACGAACCGGGAAGCTGAAGACAACAGAAATGTATCATCTCACAGTGCTGGAGCCAGAAGTCCACGTCAAGGTGTTGGCAAGGCCATGCTCCTCCTGAAACCTGTGTGGGAAGAACCCCACCTCGCCTCTTGCCAGCTTCTGGTCGTTTCTCAGCAATCTCGGGCGTCCCTGGGACTGCAGATGCATCGCTCAGATCCTCCCCCTTCACGTGTCCTTCTCTCTGTGTCTGTCTATCCTCACAAGGTCCTCCTCTTATAAGGACACCAGTCATATTGGATTAGGGGCCCACCCTACTCTAGTGTGACTTAATCTCAACTAATTACACCTGCAGTGACTCTATTTCCAAACAAGGCACGATTCTGAGGACTCTGGTGTCTTTCTTTCTGATAGCAAATGTGTTATTTTTCTGACACCAAGCAATTCTCCAATATTAACTGGAAGTTCAACAATTCAGTTCTGATAGGAACTCCCCAGAACCAGTGCAGACCCCACAGGTTCAGCCCCACGAGACTGCCCTCCCTCCAGATGCCAGCTGAACCACCGTGCCAGGCTACCACCCCTTCACCCAGCGGACTGCAGACTCGGGAGTTCTCGCGACCCCAACTCTTGGTTCAATATCCCCCTGGAACAACTCGCTAGAACTCAGGAAAGTGGTCTACTTAGTAACAGCTCCATAACAAAGAACACAACCAGGGACAGACAAATGGAAGAGAGGACCAGGACAGGGTTCAGCAGGAGGGATGCAGGGAACAGCCCTGCTCTCTCCAGGGGCATCGCCCTCCAAGCACCTTGGTGTGCCCACCAACCGGGAAACTCCCTGAATTTCACTGTTCGAGTTTTTATAAGGCCATCTCCAGTCCCCCTCCCTTCTACAGAGGTGGGGGGTGAGGTTGAAAGTTGCCATCCTCATTTTATACACTGGGTTTTTCTGGTGACCAGATCCCATCATAAAGCTATTTAGGGGCCCCCACAGAATCACCTCATTATCATAAATCCAGGTGTGGTTGACAGCTGGGCTAGTAACGAATAACAAATGCATTCCTGTCGCTCAGGGAAGTCCAGGGGTTTTAGGAGCTGTGCCCGGAACTGGGAATGAAGACCAGGTACGTTTTGTATTCTACCACAGACCACGACATGTTAATTTTTGGTGGGGAGGCTACACTCTTCAGCCTGTAACAGTGACTTTGAGCCATGCACTTGACCCTGCTCAGCCGCAGTGTTTTCCACCTCACTGGGCCTTTAGAAGGAGATGCATGAAATCGGTTGGACTGAGAATGAAATTCCCATCATTCAAGAGCTTTCTTTGGACCAAGCTCAAGTTTTGATTTGTTCAGAAAGTATTTACTGAGCAGCACCGACGCGTTAGGTTCGCCACCAGGTTCTGGGAGAAGAGGATGGAAGAGACAGGCCCAGTCCTGCCCTGATGAAGCTTGCGGTCCAACAGTGGCCATCAAACACGGGAGAACTATTAAATAAGCAAAGATTGTATCCTCGCACAAGCAACAGTTTACAGGGAGCAAAGCTCGCTGTAGAAATTTGGGATCTTTTCCAGAAGAGTGGGGGCCAGGGGTGGTGGTAAATCAGTGGTATTAGAACCAGTTCACCAGTGTTAGAATTCCCGAACCTCTACTGAATTAGCTGTGACCATGGGCAGAAGATTCAGTGTGCCTTTGTGTCCTTACCCACGAGAACACCACTACCACCTGTCTCCTGGGGTTGTTTTGAGGATTAAATTATTTGACATATGGAAAAGCTAACAGTATTACCCGACTCAGAAAGAGCATCTAACAAATGTCAGTGATTGACATCATTATTATTACCTGATAATTATTGACAAAGGCAAGATTAAATTCTGTAATAAAATGTTTTCTTAGAAAACTAATGTCGACCAAGATAATCTGTCTTAGTGTTACAGGTTCCACCCCAAAAAAGTGACCTTTTGAATTAAGACGCACAGGAGTAGTCTTTGTGGTATTCTGTGGATAACTGCATAATGGCTTATGAACTATACATATCTATAGTGACAGTTGGAGGTTTATATAGATAAATTCTAGATCTTCTAGAACTGTGGTAAGACAGGATGACAAGCTCTCTCTATTTGCTTATTTTTAGGGGACTATGGAACCCCACTTCCTTGGTACTTCTTTCTACAAGAGTCCTATTGGCTTGGTGGTGAAGGTGAGTTTGTTTAAAAGAAAACAAAAATCAGTAACTTTAATGTTTGAAACTAACTTCTTTGGCTATGCATGGGATATGTGTGGGTTACAGAGGGGGCTCTTATATCAAATATGTGATTCCTGGTTACTCTGCTGCCTCCTGGGAGTTCAGCCACCACACAGCCTCTGGGAACCCACCTTTTGTGGGTCACTGGGCCAGGGTGAGTGGCCGAGCACTGACAAACCCTTGTCCTGTACAGTTTGTGCCCAGTGGATTAAATTGCCCTAGTAAAAGAAGGCCAAACCACTTCAGGGTACAAATGACTTTTGCAGCTTCTCAATTTAAAGCAAAGAGAAGCCACAGAATCGTGAAGGGACCTTTGCATTCATCTCCTGCCTTCTCTTCTGCTCTTTTATTTCTCTTCACCTTCTGGGAATAAGAACTAACTCATTCTTTTAAGGTAAGGACCCAACCAGAGGCTGGGGCGGAGCTGTGATCTTCAAGGCAAATACTCTTCACGGTGGTTGAGAAAGACGGCTAAAGGCGTTTACCCAGAATGCACCTTAGATAAAACTTACCTTTCCTACTGAACAGGGCAGGAGGCCCGAGGGAGAGTTCTAGAAGTGGGGGAAGCCACAGATTCTTTTGTGAGGTATGAGAAGGCACCAGAATTCCCGACCTGAGCTGGGACCTCCCCTGGCGCTGGGAGGTTCTGGAAACAAAGCAAATATTTTCCAATCTGTTTGTTCCTCATCTACCTGCTTAAACTTTGTATTATTGGGCCTGAGCCAGGATTTATCCTTGAAGCACTAAAATAGGTGTTTGTTTTCTCTAGGGGATTAGCCCAGGGCCTTTTAAAGGCTTGGGTGGGTTTTCTTTTTCTTTCTTTTTTAATGATTCAAACAAACAGCACCTCCACAGCTCAGTATTTTTCCATTAGGTTGGTTTGCCTGTCTCGTCTACCTGTAAACTTCTAAATTTCTACTATGATAAAGTTATAGTCCACTAAGTAACAAATGGGCATTGTATAAATCCATAAAGTTATAAAAGGGAATTTCCAACACAGGAGTGTGTTCCTGGAATGTTTCTCATGTCCATGAATATCAGGCTTTTCCCTCTCTCTACAATCTCAGCAGACACTCTGCCGCCCCCCCCCCCCAATCAATAAATAAAATCTTAAGACAAATATACTCCTCCAAAATGAATCACATATTTTTGACAACAGAAGCCAAATATTTTTCACCTGCCTCACAGGCTGGACAGAAACAGATCTCTAAATTTCTCTAAAAATCAGGAAAGAGCTGAGCTTCTCCTTTGGTCACTTGGGACAAATCTGGAACTGGGACCCACACTTCCTGACAAGGGACTCATTCCAATGACTAACCCTTTGGAAGAATATTCCTTCCTGGTATTTTGTCACACGTTAGTACAGTATCAGAGCTAATAACGCGACCCAGGGAGCTGTGGACAATAGATCTGAAAATCGTTCAGGAAGCAGAGGGGAAGCGCTGGCTGTGGCGGGTCCCCGGCCACCAGGCCCATCGCCGGCCGCTCCACCGCATACCCTGCGACCCACAGAGGGCGGCGTGCACCGGGGAGGCCCTGGTGGCTGCTGCGCCCAAGTCTCACCCTGTCCCTGTGGGTGCCCTGCAGGCGTGGTGACAGCGGTTTTCTCCGGTCCCTGCTGTCCTCTCTGGCTGGCTCCCTCTCCTGCTTCTCTTCCCCTTCCAGGATGTCCTGACGTCCTTTTAAACCAAATGCCAAGGTTACAAAAAATGCCTCTGTGTGCATGTGTGTGTTGGGGGGAGGGTGTTGTGTGAGAGAGTATATATGAGTGTGAGAATGTGTGTGTGACATGCATGTGGAGTGTATGTGTGTGTAAATCGTACATCATAATTTGTGCAAGCCTTACCTCCACCAGGCTCCACCCTAGGGTTAATCCCAAAATATTTAATGTCCAGAAGAGCAGATTTCTCTGGCAAACCATTTCTCGATCTGTAAATTAAGCTGGCCGCCCTTTACATCACCTTGAATAGACTTTTACTCAAGCTTCCCCATGACTTGGACATGTTTGGGATTGGAGTGAAAGTACTTCTGGTGAGCTAAAGAAAATGAACCCACTTCACATTCGGTCTTGCTTTTGTTAATGCATATTTTTAGCCACGATGTCTGACACTGGGGGCTCTCCTGGCACGTTAAGAGGATGAGTTGAAACTCCTGTTAAAGAAACTCCCCGTGCCCTGGCCAGTTTCGCTCAGCGGTTAGAGTGTCGGCCTGTGGACCAGAGAGACCTGGGTTCAGTTCCCACTAAGGGCGCGTACTTTGGTTGCAGTTTGTCCCCAGCCCCAGTTTGGGTCGTGTGGGTGGCAGCCAGTCGATGTGTCTCTCTCACATCGATGCTTCTCTCTCTCTTCCTCCCTCTCTCCTTCCCGCTCTATCTGAAGATAAATGCAAAAAAATGTCCTCGGGTGAGGATAAAACAAAAACTCCCCCTGAACTTGGCAAAGGTCACACAGCGTGGCCGCTGGGGGCGCCGCCGGCCACTTGCAGAACCTCACAGACCTGCAGGTCAGAGGTTGGCAGGGGGTTCAGGGCTGGTCCCTGGGAACACTGACTTGGCCTTTGAGGGAACTTTTCCAGTTGTGGTAGGAAGCTGCCCACCCCCTTCCCTCCTTTCCTGCCTTTGCTGACTTGCAGCTCTCACCAGGATAGTAACAGTGGCTTCTTGTTGGTGCAGGGTGTTCAACCAGAGAAGAAAGGGCCCTGGAGAAGACGGAGCCCGTCACGGAGGAAATGGAGGACCCGGAGCACCCCGAAGGAACACATGGTAAAAACCTCAGTAAAGAATGCAGAGCAGGGGCCAGGAAAAGGGCCGAGCAGACCACCTCAGAACCGGGGAGAGATGGAGCCCCGGAGACTGGGTTCAGCTGCACACTGGAATGAACGGTCCAGCCAGACATGAACGCACATTTCCTGAAGAAAGCAAATACCAAGCATGTTGGACGTTTGTACCCTTGTTAGGCAAACCCCAAGTGAGTTGCACAAATGTGCTGACTTCCGAGGATTTAGCAAGAACAATAACTTGGGTCACTGGGACTTAAGGCGGATATGAGCTATAAGGAAAGACAAAAATAAATGGGCGCAGGAGGAGGAATGTAGTGGCGCTGACTTCACTCGTGGTTTACAAATCGCGAGGCCCATTCATTCAAGCCCTCCAAAGCCTTTCCTGACGCGGCGGTTACCTAATGATCCGAGCTGATGAGCGAGGCTGGCAGTGCGTCCCCGCCAGTGGCCTCCCTCCTCCCCTCCGGGCCAGTCTGTACTCTCCCGGTGCTCCACTCCGAGCCCACGTCTCTCTGCGGAGGCCGGATGCCCTTGCCGTTCTCACCCCGGGTTTGGAGGGGCAGCCTGGCCTCTGCACTTGGCCCCACGTTGCATGAGAGGGCGGGCGGGCTGAGGGCTGAGGGCTGAGGGCTGAGGGCAGCGGCCGCGGCTGCTCCGAGAGCTGGTTTGCAGGCCCTCCTCTCAGGGTGCAATTCCAAGGCCGAATTCGAGGTGCTGGAGACTGGTCCGGTCTCAGTCACAGGCGAGGCCAGGAGGCACGGAGAAAAGAAGTGTCGGGGTGCTTCCTGCAGGGGAGCAGAGGCCCAGAATGACAATGTTAAGACGATAAATGAAGTAGCGCTGGATAGGGTGAACTAAAGCAGGAGAGGTTCGAGGCCCGGGAGAGGTGGTCGCCATGGCAACGAGGGCCTGCAGCGGAGGGGATGTGGGGGGAGAAAAGGGAGGGGTGGCGTTTGAGGGACAGTAATGAGGACAACTCCCTCGGTTGGAGAAACTCTAGGGCTGTCACAGTTGCCTCGGAGATTTGAGCCAAGGCGACCAGGAGAGTGGCGGCTCCAGGCATGGACACCGGATCGCCTGAGGACAGTGCTGTTTTGGGAAGAAGATGAAGAGCCTGAGCCGCTAACAGAAATGCCCACAGGCTGCTGGGAACGAGGGCCTGGGACTGACTCTCCGTGTAGACGGTGAGTCCACTCCAGGTTTCAATCCCAGCTCACCTGGACTGGACACTCCACGTCTCTGAGTCTTTAGTTTCCTCATCTATAGAAATGGGCATAATAATATGTGCCCCATAGGGCTGCTAACAGGCTGAAATGAGCTGTTCTCTACACGGCACTAGAAACAATGCCTGGCACACAGTAACTGTTCAACAAATACTAGATACCACTATTACCATTCTTATTCTCTAGTCATCCTTACAAAGGTCACAGCCAAAGCCACGGGGGCAGGTGAATTTATAGGCAGAAGACAATGGTCTGAAGAAAGAATTTGGGGAAGGCGTACATTAAGACACCGTATTTACATGTTCATGTTTTCCCTCCAAGACTCCTTCTTTGAGCGTGAGCTTCCGGGCCTGGTCCCTGGGGTGTGTGTGAAGAACCTGGTAAAGATGTTTACGCCCTGCGGCCGGCCAGCCGTGGACCGTCTCACCATTACCTTCTATGAGAACCAGATCACCGCGTTCCTTGGTCACAACGGAGCAGGGAAAACCACCGTCTTGTGAGTCTCAGGGCCCCGACGCTGGGTCGCCATTTGTCCTGTCGTTTTCCGGTCTTTTCTTTCCCTCTTAGCTTCAGTCTACTCTTCCCCCCTGAATTTTAGTGACAAAAATGGGCTCCGAACGTGTGCCCCAGGAATGTGTAAGCACACTGCAGTGTTCAGTGCCCACCGACATATATTGCTTCACTGGACCGTCACGAGAAGTCGGAGAGGGAGGTGGAGTACATCTATTGCCCCTTTGTGTGCCAAGGCAATGGGCATCCAGAGAGCTGAAGTGACTTCCCGAGGCCGCCAAGTTGTAAGGGTGCAGAGGGGGAAGACCCAGGGCCTCCCACTATGATCTCTGGTCTCTGACGGTGCAGCCCATCCCCCAGCCCCTCTCCCTAGCATTACCACCCCCGGGGGGGTGATGCAGTCATGGCCATCACCAGCATGCTCTCAGTCTGTAGAGTTCTACTTATTTTCAAAGGCTTTCCTTTTCCTACCCAGGAGGGGTGGTGCCAGTTCTGGAGGGAGTAAAAAGGGTGCAGTCGGGACCACGTTCAGGGAAGAGAAGGCTCGGGGAGCTTCCCTCACTTTTCCAAGGGACCTGAGCGCCATCTGCTGGGAAGAACACAAGCAGCGAAGGTTGCCCAAGTTGCTGCAGAGGCGGCCTCTCCAGGGGCAGGAACTCCGGGGACACGTGGTCTTCACGGCCTTTGGCTTCTCAGAGCCCCAGGAAGGAACAGCCGCGTACACCCAGCGCTGGAATGTTCTCCGAGGGCGGATCAGTGTGGCTGGAATGTGGGGCTGGTGCCATTATATTTGGTTCTGTTTCCCTCTAGTGGTTGATCAACAGAGATTGCAGCTTCCGAGCACACATTCAGATAGCCTGAGATTGTATCTGAACTCGGGCCAGAGCTGGGTGGGGCGGCGTGAGAGCCCTCTGACTTTTCTCCTTGTTCACTAATAAGGTCAGAGCGCTGCATGCAGGGCCCTGGGGCTTCTCGCAGGCAAACATTACTTCATCGGTGGCTGAAGGCTGCTTCCCCTGGGCCCTGAGACACAATGTTTCATAAAAATAATATTTTTGAGTGTTACTTTATGTTGGCACCGTTCTGAATCTTTTTAGGTACTCACTCATTTAATTCTCACAACCACTTCATGAGATGGGTGTCGTTATTTCTCATTTTCCAGAAAAGGGCTAACCTTGCTGTTGGGCTCTTTCTGTTTTGGATCCAAAGACGATATGGTTGGTGGGAATTCCTAGGCCTGGCTTCAATCCATTGATCAACAAATACGTATTGAATGCCTGGGCTTCTCATGAAGACCCTCCCTCTGTGCTTTGTAGTGGTGACATCAGGCAACGCGTTGACCCGTGCACCAAACACTGTGTATTGAGCCCCAGAGCACCAGGAGTGGGATGGCTGAGCTGGGGAAGGAATGCTGGGTGTAAGCAAATGTTCTGCAGCTGGGGCTCCAGGAGGCCGGCGGTGCCTGCCTGCCCGGGAGCACTAGGAAACAAGTAGAAGCAGAAGAAGACAGATGTGGTCATCGCACTCGGGCCTGGATGGACATGGCGCTAAGCTCTGTGTGGGAAACTGTTGGTCTCCACAGCTAAGGGTGGTTGGGGTTCAGCTGAGAGCCATGGACAGCAATCACTGTGAGAGCCCTGACCGTCCCCAGGGTGGGGGCTGCCATCCGCCCCAAGGCACTCCTGAAGGCCATGCTTACTGCCCCTGACTTCTGTGTTTGGCAGGTCTATCCTGACGGGTCTGTTGCCACCAACATCAGGGACCGTGCTCATTGGGGGAAAGGACATTGAAACCAGCCTGAGTGAAGTCCGGCAAAGCCTTGGCATGTGTCCCCAGCATAATGTCCTGTTCCACCAGTAAGTAGCACAGGAATTGAAATCCTCCCCACGTCTTATTCTTACTTGGCCTCCAACACACGTATTCTCCAGAGCCCAGCTCAGGGATGCCAGCCCTGGAGGCAGGAGGCAGTACCCTTGTTTGATTTTCCCATGTTCAAGGTCCTTTGTCCTGTTCACAGACAGGTGTCCCTTAGGTGTACCTGTGGCACTTGGACCTGAGTCTCCTCCCTCATAAGAGTGACGTCCTTCTCTCTGAAAGGTGGCTAGTCCCGGGCCCCTTGCTCAGCTCTGAAATACTCCCTCTAGCAAGGGAGGAGACCAGTGTTCTGCCTCCCCTCTTAAACCAGGCACTAAGAAATGATTTTTCAAGAGGCTTTCAGTTGCTTGTATCCCCAAACTTTTATTTCTTATCTAAAGAGTTACATGTAGTCATTGAAGAAAGGAAGGAAGGAAATATAGGTTAAAAGAAAAAATAAAAGTAACCTGTGAGCCCTGGCAGGTTTGGTTCAGGGGTTAGAGCATCGACCTGCAGACTGAGGAGTCACGGGTTCGATGGCAGGTCATGGACACGTACCTCAGTTGCAGGTTCAATCTCCTGTCCCTGTCAGGGTCATGTGGACGCAACCAATCAATGTGTCTCTCTCACATCAATATTTCTTTCTCTTTCTCTTCCTCCCTCCCACTCTATCTTAAAAAAACAATGTAAAATATATCCCCAGGTGAGAATTAAAAAAAAAAAAAAAGCCACCTATGATGTCACCACCCAGAGATAACCATTGATGACATCGTGGTATATAAGTTTTCAGAACTTTGTCCTATGCATGTAGAGATATACACATACACTTTCAAATTATAAAGGAGAGTAAAATTCTGCGTACAGTTTTGTAAACTGCCATTTAAAAAATGTGATTACTTTCTCTTAATCTAAGATATCATGAACATCTATCTTTCAACATCATTATGAATTCTTCTAAAAATACTTTTTAATGTTTACGTACTATGCCGTTGTATAAATGTGATATTTAAACCGCCCCCTCACTTGAGCTATTTTAGCAGGTCCCATCTTTTGTTTAGTTTTTGTATCAAAAACGACACCATGACAGATTCTGGCGGCTAAACCCCTGTGCCCCTCCTTAGCTAGTTCTGTGAGTTAAGTAGCTAGAAGTGCACCTGCTGAGCCGCTGCCTTTGTCACGGTCCCGCAGCCTCACGGTGGCGGAGCACATCCTGCTCTATGCCCAGCTGAAAGGGAAGTCCTGGGACGAGGCCCAGCTGGAGGCCGAGGCCATGTTGGAGGACACGGGCCTCCATCACAAGAGGAACGAAGAAGCTCAGGACCTATCAGGTGCTCGGTGCTGGAGAAGACAGGGCGCCCATACCGTGGTTTCCCAGTGTTTAGGCTTCTAACGGAAGGCGTCCTAAGGGCTGGGACACGTCCATAAAGTTATTCTGAGCATCTAAGAGCAGCCCCTCTGGACTGTTTCCCACACGGAACATAGCGGCCTGGGCTGCGTTTGTTCCGACGTTCATGTGTTTGAACTAAAATGTGAGAACGGCCTTCAAACGGGCTAGTCCCAAGGAGCAGAGAATGCCTTTCTGTACTGAAAAAGGCCTTCACACCACTGGGGCTTGAATGCTGCGTGAGCGTCCGAGGAGGCAGCCTCAGACCACTGCCGGAGCTAAGTCCCCCCCGCCCCGCCCCGCCTTGTACCACCAGCCCCAGGGCCATTGCATTCTGTCCCCCACAGTCCCCGTGACACCCAGCCCACCTGTACCTGTAGGTGGCATGCAGAGGAAGCTGTCTGTTGCCATTGCCTTTGTGGGAGATGCCAAGGTGGTCGTCCTGGATGAGCCCACCTCTGGGGTGGACCCCTACTCACGACGCTCCATCTGGGACCTGCTCCTGAAGTATCGCTCAGGTAACGGCCGCGGCCCCGTGCCCCGTGCCCCGAGCTCTCGCCCGGGGTTCGGCTCTGGGGCCTGCTCTCTCACACCTGGCCTCTGGCAACCGAGTGCAAGGAACAGCCAGAATCCCACGCACGTGGGGGCCTCGTCGGTGACTTGGAAGAATCCAAGTTCCAGTGGAGCCTCCTGAGAGTTTTACACGAATATAAGCAGCCTACTTTCCAAACTATTCTAGAACATTCTCTCAATCCTTCTGTCTCAAACAATGGGTGCAGCTCTAGGCAGAAATTCCCCTTTGACTAAGGGGACCCAAGTCACCTGCAAACACCCCAAGAAGCTCCATAGCCATCGCATGAGGACCAGGGTGAGGGTGACGTGCCCGCATCCAGAGCTGCAGAAGCGGCTGCGGTGGAGCCTGTGAACCGGGGTCTCCCTTCTCCGTCAGAGCCCCTCCCAGCCGGAGGTGCAGATCCCAGCCAAGCTGAGCACCCACAGAAGTGCTGACGTGGTTCCATCCTGTGGTCGACTTGTCACCCTGGAATCCTGATTACTGGTTTTTTTAAAATGACATTTCCAACTAGCATAAAAGAGAGAGAGAGAACGTGCGCACTTGTGTGTTTTGCACAGATTATAAATGCAGCGCTTAGTGATCCAGAGACTATACATCTAGAACTCAGTGGACACTGACTGACAGTAATACATACGTCCCATACGTGATGATTCGTTTGAATCAGGTCCTGTGCCCGATGAGCAGTGTTTTGCAACATGCAGGATGCTATACATTGTTAGCTATTGTCGTTATATTCTAGTGCTCTGGACTTTGCTACAGATACTTGTTTATATGTATTAACTCCCAGTTTTAAGCCCTCGGAATGGGAGGTTGCGGTCCACCCTCTTCCGTCAGCCTGGCTCCAGCCCTTCTGGTGATCCCCCCGCCCCTGCAGGCAGAACCATCATCATGTCCACTCACCACATGGACGAGGCCGACCTCCTTGGGGACCGCATCGCCATCATTTCCCAGGGGAGGCTCTACTGCTCGGGCACCCCACTCTTCCTGAAGAACTGCTTTGGCACGGGCTTCTACTTGACCTTGGTGCGCAAGATGAAAAGCATCCAGGGCCAGGGAACGGGCCGCGAGGTACGTATCTGCCCAAAGAGACGTCTGGGCGAACGGGAATACACAGCGCGGTGCTGCCTTTCTGGATGTTTCTCCCCAACCCAGGCTCCGGCCGTCAGCGTCGCCTCTTGTTTCAGAGGCCATTTATAGATTTTGATGAACTGACATTCTGAACCCTCCTGCAGGGACGCTTAACCCCAAACGAAATAACTAGTTTTAAATGACCCGAGATTCTTACACTCCAGAACCCTAAACACCACATACTGTGTGGTGCAAATACGAGTTACGTCTCATTTTGCAAGGTTACACTGTTTTAAGGAGCGCAGCTGTCAGAGTTCCCCCCCTTTTTTTTTATTCCAACATTTATATTCCCTAATTAAACCCTAATTCCACTGCTAAATGAAAGCTAAGAAAAGGCTCCTTGAGAACTTAGCCTAAAAATAATGAAGTCAAAACATACCACCCAGCAGAGACCCCCTGAGCATGTCAGGAGACCCAGGTTCAAGTTTGGGCCGCAGGGTGGATACATTGTGTCATCGCACGCAAAGGACTTCATTCCTTGTCACCGTTGGTGTTTTGGGGGTTTTTGTTGTTGTTGTTTGCATACAGAAAAGGAAACTCATGACGTCTGATTCTGCTTCCTTGAGATATGGTGAAGATAAATGAACAACATTCAGGTTGTCATGCTTGTCATATTATAGCATTATTTATGCCTCTGGCCCCTGTCATTTAAGCGTCTGGCTGCTCCTGGGTTTTGCTCTCCTGGGTGTATTCCCACAGCCCAGCACCCCTGGGAGGGAGGAGCAGAAAGTCTTGCACAGTGAGACCACAGCAGCCGCATTCGTAATGACAAGCCTCGGGATCCTTTGAGGTTCTGCTGCTCTCTGTGCCTGAGTCACAGGATAAAATCAAATGGCCACACCTTCAAAATGCTCAGATGAAGTAACCGATTAAACTCGTGAAGAGAAATGTGTTGACCACACTCAACGGTGAGAAGCAAATGAGGTGTGGTGGTGATGACCACCAACATCAGGGAGAAGCTGTCCCTGGAGTGACCGGTGTCCCTCTGTTGTAGGGGACCTGCAGCTGTGCGTCTCAGGGTTTCTCCGTGAGGTGTCCAGCCCATGTAGATGAGATAACTCCAGAACAAGTCTTGGATGGTAAGGACTGGGGCAGGCCATATCTTGGTTCTTGTCTGGCGAGCGATCATCTCTCGGTGTTGTTGGGTGTGTCTCCTGCATTTTAATGCGAGTGAAGAGAATACGGGGTGCTTCTCAAGTCCATGGCATGCAGTTGCTTATCTTTTTCTTTGAGCTCCTCCTCCATCCCCAAAAGGATTTTAGAAGTCGTGAGCCGAAGGGCCATCTGTCTCCCTTTAATGAGGAATCTGTCTTTGTTCACTCCGTGCCCCTGCCCATAACTGAGCCTCCATTCCTGGGGTCCTCCTGCCCTGGCTCCAGGCCCCATGCCTGAGCGCCCCGGGGGAAGGGCTTCTAAAGGTGCTAGGTGGAGTCCCTGGTGGAACCACAGTGACACACAGCTCTTAGAATGACCTTTTCCAGAGTCAGCTTGCACTGCGTAGAAGCCATATCTGTGGACTTACACATCCTTGTTACACTCCTAACTCTCCCCTCGATTTACCAATTTTCCAGCAACTGTCCCTTGGATTAGGGTGCATTGAACCTCATAAGAGGTGCCCCTGCCTTGAGGGTGATGCAGAAAAGAGGTGGTCACTGTAGAAGTATTCATCCTTCAGGATCTGATCTTAGCAACCCAGAGTGTGTGCCAGCAACTCTTCCCATATCTCCATAATGCCCACCTCCCATCCCTCCCCAGGGTATCTTTGCAAATGGAATCTCACATACCCGCCATCCCTAAATAGGAGCAAAACTAAACCTATAGACTGACCCAGGTTAATGAAGGGGGGAAGTGTCTGCTTATCAACGAAAAAACACACTTTCCTACTTAGCACAATTTTTCCCCTAAATCTGAGGAATTTACAAATTCGCATCTGGAGAAACAAGACAGCTGGGCAGTACTTTTGTACTGTGCTTACATTTGAGGGGAATGCCCCGAGGCCCATAGTATTCACTCCCTCGCCCTCTCTTTGCACTGACAGAATCCGTGGTGAACACGACACGGCCTTTTAGGATGACGTCTGTCTGTCTGTCTGTCTCTTAGCTGGCTTTGCTGTGAGTTCCTCTGCTTCCTGAGGTTCCCTCCCGGGGGAATCTCGGTCAAGAAATTGATACTTTTAAGAAATGAATACTAGTTACTGTGGTGCACCAACATCAAGTTGGAGAGACCCTGCTGCCTGGGTGATTTTTTAAAAATATTCCTTGATTTCTAAATAGAGATTTGTTTTCTTTTCATAGAATAGGGATGTTGTGCATGGTTAAGAAGCACAGTAAGCAGTTATGCCCCAAATCAGAGCAGAAGTCATTCTAATCCCCAGTCCATTCCTTGGAAGGCTTTTCCCTCATACACACCCATGCACCGCACACTCACTCATACACACCCATGCATGCACACTCACGCATACACACCCATGCATGCATACTCACTCATACACACCCAGGCACCGCACACTCACTCATACACACCCATGCATGCACACTCACTCATACACACCCATGCATGCACACTCACGCATACACACCCAGGCACTGCACACTCACTCATACACACCCATGCATGCACACTCACTCATACACACCCATGCATGCACACTCACGCATACACACCCATGCATGCACACTCACTCATACACACCCATGCATGCACACTCACTTGTACACACCCATGCATGCACACTCACTCATACACACCCAGGCACTGCACACTCACTCGTACACACCCATGCACTGCACACTCACTCATACACACCCATGCACTGCACATTCACTTGTACACATCCATGAATGCACACTCACTCATATACACCCATGCACCGCACACTCACTTGTACACACCCATGCACCGCACATGTATACACCCATGCACTGCACATTTACTTGTACACAACCAGGCACCGCACACTCACTCATACACACCCATGCATGCACACTCACTTGTACACCTCCAGGCACCACAAACTCGTACACACCCAGGCACTGCACACTCACTTGTACACACCCAGGCACCACATACTCACTCGTACACACACAGGCACTACACACTCACGCATACACACCCATGAACCACACACCTCCCTGACGCCCTGAAGGACCACTCCTGGAAAGGCTGACACACATTGAAGACACAATTCCTGGGAATCCAGCAGCTTCAGGTTGGATTTCCTTCCTAAGAGAACAATGAGCGTGACCCCTAGAGAGCTGTTGGGGCAGAGTAGCTTCCTCTGCAAGGAGCCCTCCAGCCTCAGTGTGAAATCATCCCGGAACTAAACACAGTTGAGTCCAACTTGCAGATTTGACACAGAACAAGCTTTTCAGTCCAGCTAGGTGAAGGATTTGGGTCGAAAGCCATGAAATCCCTCAATATGGGTCATTTCTGAAACAAAGAAAGAAAAGAACCCACTGGGTCCCCTGCCCTGAGAGGGCTGCATGCGGAAATGCACCCACGAGCTGGGTTCTGAGTTCCCCCAGTCCCTTTACCTTTGACCTGCCTCTCAAGGTAATGGGCTGGGGGTCGGCTTCTTCAAATAAATGCTTTACACTTTTTAAAATTAGATCTTTAATTTTAAAGTAACACATGCTCATACATAAAATTCAATTCCGATTGTATGAGGATATCAGGTCAGTACCTGATACCGGACCCTTCTCCGTGCACCCCACGCTCCATCTCTCTGGTCCACCTCCACAGCTCCGCAGCCCCTCCTGCATCTGCTGTGAGCTGGGAGTTGAGTTCTGTTTTGTTTGAGGAGGCAGGTGCCACCCCAAGGGAACTGGCACAGTCCTCGGGAAAGTTAGGCCATCATGGGCGTGAAGCGGACTTCTCACCCAGCCTAGTGACCAGGTCTAGGTACGCATTTTGGGCCCTATAGCTGGGGCCAGACTAGGAACATAAAAGCAACTTTGACTCGAACCCTCAGGTGTGTGGTGAGTAAGGATGAGCAACAATAATGACAAGTGCTTTCTGACTTGAGATGATGTTCTTGATACAACAGCAACCCTCACTCACCTGCTCACCAAGCACTTCCTCCCGCGTTTCTTATGTATATCGGTGAACTCATCCAGCCCTCACAGACTACAGTGAAGTCGACACCATTATTTTCCCCTTTCACACGCGAAGAGACTGGGATTTGACCTGTCCAGTGTTACGGAACTTGAAAGGGACAGAACATTCTATTGAACAAAGGCGAACATTGGCCCGGGCACCTTTCCCCTCCCTCTTCCTCTCAGTGCCCACCTCGGGGCCAGCTAAGCGAACAATGGGCATCAAAGAGGGCTGCTCCTCACCCTGGCTGGTTTGGCTCAGGGTTAGAGCCTTGGCCCATGGACCAAAGAATCATGGGTTTGATTATAGTCAAGGGCACATACTTTGGTTGTGGTTCGGTCCCTGGCCCTGGTTGGGGTCACGTAGGAGGCAGCCAGTCAATGTGTCTCTCCCACATTGATGTTTCTCTCTCTCCCTCCCACTCTATCTGAAAATAAATGGAAACATATCCTCAAGTGAGGATTAAAATTTTTTTTCTTTATTGATTATAGAGAGAGAGGAAGGGAAAGGGAGAGAGAGATAGAAACATCGATGAGAGAGAACACTGATTGGACGCCTTCTGCATGCTCCCCATGGGGGATGGGCCCACAATCTGGGGATATGTCCTGACCAGGAATTGAACCAGTAACCTCTTGGTGCATGGGTTGGTGCTCAACCACTGAGCCACACTGGCTGGACTCGGGTGAGGATTTAAAAAAAAAAAAGAGTGTTAACTCCTCTAAGAGAGTCACTCCTGGGGACGAGACACCCCTTCCTCCAATGGGAAGGGTGCAGGGACCTGGGCAAGCTCGCAGTCTCCCAGGGCCTGGGAAGCAGCTGACCTCCGTCTTCTTTCTTGTCCGAGGGGACGTGACTGAGCTGACGGCTGTGGTTCGCCACCACGTTCCCGAGGCCAAGCTGGTGGAATGCATCGGTCAGGAACTGATCTTCCTTCTTCCGAATAAGAACTTCAAGCAGAGGGCGTACGCCAGCCTTTTCCGAGAGCTGGAGGAGACCCTGGCGGACCTGGGCCTCAGCAGTTTTGGAATCTCCGACACTCCCCTAGAGGAGGTGAGGCGGAGAGCACAGCTGGCCTTGCCGGCGACCGAAGTCTCGCGAGAGTTGCAGGCTGGAGGGGAGATTTGTGAAGGCAGAAAGGCCGAGGTCCCCAGCCAAGCACAGCACCTGTCTTCCTGTCTCGGCTTGCGCCCTCCTGCCTTTGTCCCTGCGCACACAGGTTTCGTGTAGCTGTGGTGGCTGCGTGCATGGACCGTTGTGTTTACGGAAGACTGTGTTCTTAGATGAAGAGTCATAATGTATTTTCTTCCCATTATGAAGCAATCCTCAACAGAATCAAGCCTGGCCTAGATTTTTCTGAGCCTGGGAATATCTAAACCAAATTCTCTTTTTTCCGCCCCCTGACAGATATTTCTGAAGGTCACAGAAGACTCTGATTCAGGACCTCTTTTCGCTGGTATGGTGCTGGAGTTTCGCGTTTTCCCTTCCGCCGCCCTCCCCTAAGCTCTATCTTGAAAATCTAAGGAAAAACTCATGAAACACTAAAGCAGGCAAACACTCCTTCATAGTATTTATCTGACGTCCGAATAACAGGCATTTGGCATTCTTGGTGCCACTGAAGGACAACTGGAGTTAGGTCTGGGTGCGACACTGGACGAATCAGGCTGATAGCCTCCCTGCACCTGAGCTTCTCGGCCCCCTGCCAGGTCGCCTCCCTCACCTCCTCTTATCTCCACCAGGCCTCGATCAGCTGTCTGCAGGGCGACAGTCTGCAGGGTCCTTAGAGATGACAGCGACAGTAGATACAACCCAGATGCCCCTTTGAGACCAAGATAAAATTATTCTGAACTCTCATTTAGCACCCTGTAAAAATGTGAAACTGCAGGGATCATAATTCCTATGGATTCTGGGGTCTCTCTTCTATATATGTGAACCTCGGTACCATCTGGCCCCTTCCACGATTTCTACAAAACCCCTAAGCCACACGGCGGGTGCATCATGAGTGCAGTAGACTTTACTGTGGAGGGTGGGGGTGGGGAGGCGGACGTGCAGGAGGGGTTACCTGCCACAACACAGGCTACTTTTAATAGAACAAAGAACAGTAGGCACCCGCCCACACTGATAACCCTCCCTGGCTCCTCTCTCCCACAAAGCCGTGTGGCAATTCTCCTTGGGCTCCTGCCACTGGTTACCTCCTCTGTGCAGTGTGGCGTGACACAGTGTTTTCCTGTGCAAAAACTGCTTCCTCCCTGAGGGTTTCTGGTGCCAGCTCTTAAGATAATGTGGTTTTCGTCTTGCTTCGTGAGTGATCCCAGAAGTTTATTTATCAGCTGTGCCCAGAACTTCCAGTGGTCAAGTTTTCCAGCACATACATGCTCCCTGACCCAGGTAGGTCGTGTGGTGGCCAGAAGCAGTGGACACCCTGGCAGACTGAGGAACGAAGGGCAGGCCTCCGGAGGGGTCAGAAGCAGCTCGCCACAGGGCCCCAGGCTTTCTTTCCAGCTGTGCAGACATACAGCAATTAAATCCTCTCAGCTCAGTCAAAGTCCTACATGAACCAAGACCAGAATGAAAATATGCTCATTTATAGCAGAAGCTATGCTGGATTCCAGAGCCGAGGTCTTTTATCTGCAGAGAATAATTCTTTGTAGTAATTAGGCCCTCCCGAGAGAACAAATGACACATCAGAGGACTGTTCAGTCTGGGCATTAGCATGGAACGTTCCAAAGAGGTGGTCAAGGACAGAGATGGCCGAACACCAAACCTGGACTTCACAATTTGCTAACTGAGTGGCTTTGGGTAAATACTTAGCCTCTATGTACCTCCGTTTCCTCATCCACAGAATGGGAATAACAACAGAATCAATCTTTCAGTGTTGTTGAGAGAATCGAATGAGTTAATACATGCCAAGTCTTAACACAGTATGCAGTTTATGATTAAGATTTAGACTCTCTAATCTCAACATTTGCAAATTACCTCATCTCTGACCTCAAACTTGTGAGCCCTCAGAAAGCATTTAACATCCATTGTTTCATTTGACTGGCACTGTAACCTCCAGAGATGGGTAGGCAGGGATTAGCCCTTCCCCAGGAATGAGCTCACCCGGGTCAGATGACTTGCCCAAAGTCACACAGGTTTCTGAGTCTTGTTTTCTGGTTTTAGCTTTCAAATCGAGGATCCTCAATGCCAAACTCTCACTGCCTCCCTTTTTTCAAAGGGCTAAGTGCATTTAAGTTTGCTCAGTTTTAGAGAACATTTTCAGATCTAGTCTAAAAAGTCTGAAGGAACCAGTAGCTGTCCATTGGACTCACGTTTCATGGTACCAAGAGGGTCCGTGCCATTTCTGAGGGGTGTGGCTCACAGCCAGTGACCACTAGAGGGCAGCAGAGCCAGAGACAAGCTGGGATTCTAATTATGAACCTTGCTCTGGCTGGGACAGGGGGCTCCAGGCTGGAAGGGGCATCAGGGATAGACATGAAGAGAGACAGCAGGCATCCAATCTGAGCCTCAGTCAAGAGAAAAGAGACTGGAGAACTAGGACTCTGGCACCCCGTATTCAAAGAGCATGGAGAAGTTCTTCCCTTTTTAGTAGCCAGGCCTGTTGCATTGCAGGTGCCTGAAAATGCTAGCTGAAGGCATGGCTGAGCTGACCCAACTCCCTTTGCAGCTGCCCCAGGCTGGGGTACGGCAAGAGGGGTAAAAAGCAGCTGGGGACCAACCAGAGGTCCTCCAGGCTCTCCCTTCATGTCCAACAGCATGTTCTGCCAAAGCACAATAAACAGGGATGATAAACTATAGCTTCACTGTAACTGACAGCCTGCAGTGGTTTATAAAGCATGTTCACCTGTGTTAGCTCGTTTGCTCTTTACAACAACCTCGCGAAAGGTTCTCGTTTTCATTTTACACAAGAGAAAACCTGGATTCAGGCAGTTTGAGTCACATGGTAAAATTTATCTGGCAAGAGTCAGAATTCAAACCCAGGTCTCCTAACTTGTACTTTATTAGTCTTTGCATCACTTCCCCGTGGCCTCTAAGAATTTAGGAAGAACAAAGTCGACTCTGCCTTTTACTTTTTTTTTTTAATGCACAGGTTATACGTGAACATATTTTTTGTTTAAAATTTTTCAAATAATACAAAAAAGGATGAAATCACCCTTCCCACTTCATCCCCCACCCCTTATCCAGCCCTGCCCCACAGTGGTGACCTCTGTCAACGGTCAATGGGCAACCTTTCAAAGCTTGGCAGTTACGTATGTGCGTATGTAGAGAAACTACCACATTTCTTTGTGTATGATACGCATGTGCTCTCTTACATGCAAAGGTCTTATTATACATATTGTCTGCTGCTTAGTTACAGGTTTTTGACCTCTCGGTGCATTTAGAACTATTGTTCCTTTTAACTACTTTGGAGAATATTTGAGTGGTTTCAGGTTATGCTGTCTGTAGATGATTTATACTAAACAATAGAACTGTTACAAGTTTATTAACCTACCTGACCGGATATTTTGTTGCTGATTTAAATGAAGGGAAATCTAATGCAGTAAGAAAAAACAGCATATGAGATCCAGACCTTGTGGGTGTTTTTTCTAAATTATTAATTCATCCTCAGGCAGCACTCAGCAGAAAAGAGAAACCGTCAACCTGCGACACCCCTGTCTGGGTTCTAGCAAGGAGGTCACGCAGACTCCCCAGGGCTCCAACAGCTGCTCTGCAGAGCCGGCCCCTCCCGCCCAGGGCCAGCCTTCCGGGGAGCGGGGTCCCCAGCTGAACCGGGGCGCGCGGCTGGTGGCCCAGCAGGTGCAGGCGCTGCTGGTCAAGCGGTTCCACCACGCCCTCCGCAGCCGCAAGGACTTCCTGGCCCAGGTATTGCTGTGGGCCTGCTGCCCTCCCGGGCTCTCCGTCCTCCGCCAGGCTTTCCGTGCGCTTGGTTCCCGCGCCGCAGAGAGCATCCTCTTTAAGTTCTGTTGGCGCTGTCTCCTCCTTGCCAACCTTTATTTTGATTCCCGGTTAACACAAAACTTCCGTGCGTACTCGACCCCACTAAGCAGGAAAAATAGAACAATAGTGCCCTGGCCGGTTTGGCTCAGCGGTTAGAGTGTCTGCATGCGGTCCAGAGAGACCCGGGTTCGGTTCCCGCTAAGGGCACGCACCTTGGTTGCAGTTTGTTCCCGGCCCTGGTTGGGTCGTGCAGGTGGCAACCACTCGATGTGTCCCTTTCACATCGATGTTTCTCTCTCTCTCTCTCCCTCCCACTCTATCTGAACAAAAAATAGAAAAATGTCCTCGGGTGAGGATAAAAAAAAAAAAAAGAACAATAGTGACTATGTCAACATTGTTATTATTTTTACAATAAAGGGTAAAGTCATGTTTTCATTCATTTTTGCAATGACCCTGCATATCAAGGTCATTGTCCTCTTTTTTCTTTGTATGTGTTTTATTCAGAAAAAGAAACTGGTTTACCTCTGGCCTACTTCAGTGTTTGTTTTTTAATCCTCACTCGAGGACATTTTATTCATTTGAGAGAGAGAGAGAGAGAGAGAGAGAGAGAGAGAGAGAGAGAGAAACATCAATTAGTTACCCCCTGTATGTGCCCCGACGGGGGAATTCAACCTGCAACCTAAGTATGTGCTCTGACCAGAAATCGAACCCATGACCTTTCTGTGTATGGGATGACACTCCAGCCAATGGCGCCACCTGGCCGGGGCTCCTTCGATGTTCACCGTTGGCCTACTTCAATCATTCTCCAGTGGTTACAGAAAGTTGTTTCTCCTTGGTGACTTGCCTTTGCACCTGCTGCTCATAATGTTCCCCGGGAGCCTGACCTTCCACCTGGGCCTGTTATGAGGCTGCAGGATAAACGTTCAGCAGCATAAACGTGTGTGTGAGTGTGTGTACACGCGCGTGTGTGTGTCTTTGCACACCACAGCCCACAGCCCGTGTTGCCGTGTTTGTTTCCCACAGATTGTGCTCCCAGCCACCTTTGTGTTTTTGGCTCTGATGTTTTCCGTCATCATCCCTCCTTTTGGTGAATATCCCGCTTTGACCCTTCACCCCTGGATATATGGGCAGCAGTACACCTTCTTTAGGTGCGTAGACATGTCCCCAGAGGTCATCATTTGCCTCTGTGGGGTGTGAGGCTCCTGGGTCACAAGCTGCTTGGTGGGGCCCTGCCCTTCTCCCTCCCTGGGACAGTCACCAACATGGTAGTGGTCCTTGGGCTGCCCTCAGAAAGGAAACTAAGTACTTACCAGTTGGAAGGTGATCCCAGGTGAACAGCCAGCATGGCCAGGTGTAAGGAAAGAGAAAGTCAAGATTAGGTGAGTGGTTAAAGCTTCATCTTTGTGGGGCACAGACAATATGCCCTCAGATCACTGGGCATGTTTGGGGAGGCTGCCCCCTTCCCAGGAGACCTACAACCACCCAGCGCGGCGTTCTGTGCCCTGTGTACGTGCCCGGCATGGGACAGCCACTCAGCGAAACCTGCGCTGGGCTCCATGTTGGCCGCTGTTCCCTCTCGCTGTCTAGCATGGACCAGCCGGCCAGTGAGCGGCTCGCGGCGCTCGCGGACGTCCTCCTGAACAAGCCAGGCTTTGGCAACCGCTGCCTGAAGGAAGAGTGGCTCCCGTGAGTCCTGGTGCCCCCTGTGCTGACCCTCACAGCCGCCCTGGGAGTCCCGGAAGGCGGGGCACCGAGATGGCAGGGTTGGGATGGCCCCGTCCAGTGCTGCTCTGTGCTGCCCGGGTGCTTCCCTCTCCCCGACCAGCACGCACCCGGCCTCTCCTCCAACACCTGCATCCAAGGTGTCCCTGCCTCTCAGGACGCACCTGCACCGTCTGACAGCTCTTTATTTCCGTGGGCCCCAATATCAAAGGTCCCACACTAAGGTATGCTGCCCGCACCTGTCTGAAAGGTGCCCGAGGCGCTGCGGAATGTCAATGTGCTCGCACCTAGAATGGCACTGGTCACGTAGGTGGCCAACTGCCAGTCATCGCCACAAGCGTAGAGAAGGCAGTGTCAGAGCTGGTTGAAGTCCACCAAGACTCCTAAAAATTCAATACAATTTTTTTTTTAATCCTCGCCTGAGGACATTTTTGCATTTATCTTCAGATAGAGCGGGAAGAAGAGAGGGAGGAAGAGAGAGAGAGAAACATTGATGTGAGAGAGACACACCGAGTGGCTGCCACCCACATGACCCCAACCAGGGCCGGGGGCAAACTGCAACCGAGGTACATGCCCTTAGCGGGACCTGAACCCGGGTCTCTCTGGTCCGCGGGCCGACGCTCTAACCGCTGAGCCAAACCGGCCAGCGCAAAATGCAATACAATTATAACTGCTTCTCTCAGTCAGCTTTTCAGAGCTGTGGGTGGATAAGGGCCAAGAAAGACAGATTTCAAATTCCTGTTTTATTTGTTGTCTGTCAGCAGCTAGAGCCACCAGGAGAGGAAAAAGATATAACTGTCCCCAACTTTGACAATTCTTCCCTGGCCCCACACTCTGAATCAATTAAAAAAAAAAATCTTGGTCTTGATTTTTCTTGACCAGAAACTAACCTGTGAGAGTGTAAGAAGAAAACGTATGCTCTGAGGACAAGGAGGAGAGGGCCGGGCACTAGGTCCCATTTCCAGGGCTTTGTATCAACGTTGGCGCTGACTGTGAAATATTCTCTTGTCTTTCATGAGGGAGTACCCCTGTGGCAACTCAACCCCCTGGAGGACACCCTCTGTGTCCCCGAACGTCACCCAGCTGTTCCAGAAGCAGGAATGGGCCCCAGGCCACCCCTCGCCTTCCTGCAGATGCAGCACCAGGGAGAAGCTCACCCTGCTCCCCGAGTGCCCCGAGGGTGCAGGGGGGCTCCCGCCCCCTCAGGTACCTCCATGCGCTGCGGGAAACCGGGGCTCGGGATCTGCCTGCAACAGTAGGGGTTGGGAAAAATATGTCGTGCCCCTAAGTTTTTGGCCAAATAACATTTTAAACTGATAGTTGAGTGCAGTTCTAACCGGGTCCTCTTAGCAGGGCTTCCCACAGGGCCCCGTCCAGCCCCTTGGGGGAGTCACTGCCCAATAGCTTCGTTTCCCGCCAAGCACTTCCGATGCAATCTCGTAAGAACATATCTTTAAACATTGAGACATTATATGTCATGCAAGCTCATTACAGAAAAATCAGAAAATGCAGATAAGTCAGAAGAGAAAAGATCATCCTATCACTTGGGAATAACCACCAATAACATTTGGTTTTTGTTCATTCCAACTGGATTATATTCAAAATGCTGTTGTGAAACCTGCTCTTCTCAGTTAGTAGCATATTATGAACATATACCCATGTCAGTATGCATTTGCATCATTGTTTTTAATGCCTGCATATGATTCCACTGTTTGGATTTACATTAATTTATTCAACTAATCTCTCATTGTTGGAGCTGTGGGTTTTCAGTTTTTCGCTATTACAAATAATGTTGTAGTGTCCATTCAAATGCCTATGTATTTGCATGTATTAACCATCTTCATTAAGAAGCTTGCCATGTGCTGTGTAACTAACATGCACACACACACACACGCACACACACACACACACACACACACAGCAACCTATGCTTTGCAGGGACATCAAGAGCCTGGCTCTGAGCAGCATCCTCCCTTGGGTGTTCTGAACTCCAGACAGTGTCGCAGTGAGCCTATCCCGGGCTTTCAGAGACAGGAGGGGCCAGAGAAGTCTCACTTTGTTTTGGGTCGATAACGGTCCTCCCAGCTGAGTTGCACGGAGAGGACAGTATGTGTCCATCGCTAATGGTTTGCCGATGAACACAAGGTTCCCAGCAAGGCTGTGTGGTCTAGTGTCGAGAGCCTTGGGTTGGCTACTTGCCTCTCGGAGCCTAATCTCTTCACTTACACATTGTGAATAACTGTGATTTATTTCATAGCCTTTTATGAGAATTCAGTGAAATAATGTGGGTAAGGAAACTGCGTTATTTAGAATTACATTCAACTCAGTGATGACAACACTAAACTAACAGTAAAAGTCTATGCGGGTGGTCCTCGGGGCTATTTTGCTGCTTCTCCATAGTGAACAGGCCTCAGCCTCCTTGGCCAAGGTGGCAGAACCTACTTGCCAGGCCGCTGACCGGAAGAAGGGATGAGTAACGAGAGAGGGCTAAGTGTGCAAATATGCTGTCTTCTAGGAAGATTTCAAGAACTACCACATTTATACAGCACTGCCAGAATCAAAAGTCAAGGAAGACTGGGAACTGTAGTCTTTATTCTGGATGGCCTTGTACCCAACAAAAAAGTCTCTTATTATGGCAGAGGGCAGAGCAGGTCACAGGGGACAACTAAATTGTGCCTTAGCATCGATCACAGTTACTGGCTTGTAAACAATTCTGTTTATGAGCATCCTGTCTCTCTTTGTTATATGCTAAAAGCATATACCTTTATATTTCTCAAGCAATTTATTTCCCCCTTGAATCCTAACTCAGCCACCCCAGCATCACAGGGATCCCAAAAGAGGAGCTCAGGGAGAAGGTTCCAATTCCCGGTGCCCCAAGAGGAAGCTTTACCTCTGCTGGGTTTGCCGAGGGCCCTCTGGCTGCTGCTGCTCTATGCCTCCAGCGGGGGGCGGGTTCTCACACTGAGCTCCCGGGCCGGGGCGGGAAGGCCAGGAGTAGCTACGGAGAGATTCATTTCCTCAGTGACTCCTAACTTCAAGGCTGCCTGTCTAGCTTACAGAAACTTATTTTCAGTGGCTAGTCTCTGGTTCCCAGGGCAAAAAATTAACAGGCCACTACAGCCAAAGTCCTGGAAACAGACAGACCAGGTCCTGTGGTTTTTCTTTCACATCTGCATTTCCTCATTATCATTCATGTCTCTCGTGGGAGCAAAAAAAAAAGTAACGTCACAAATCTGCATAGGAGCTACTTTCTCTCTCTCTCTCCACCTCATATTTACATCCACTCAGACACACTGTCCTATTCAGCCGGAATTTCGGCAGAGGTAAGGGTGCAGGCTTGGTGCAGAGGTGCTGCATTGTCCTCGTCTGGACACCGGGCGGTGGAAGCTGTCTTCGGCGGGGTCCCATCCTGCTCTCACAGTCTTTAAGTGGTGGTGGGTCCCGAGGTGAAAAGGCTCCACCCCTGGCTTCTAGAACACATAGAGTGAAAGTTAGAGGAGTATTTTATTTCACAGAATTTTTAGAGAACAATTTTCCATAAACTCCCCAGGCACCAGCAGTTGTTCCGGTCTGGAGTCCACCGGAGAGCTTGGCAGTTCCCCTGGGTGCCGAGCTCGTCTTGAGAAGCAGTGACAGAGTGACAGAGTGACAGAGTGACAGAGTGAGGGCTATGGCGTCAGACAGGTGTAGGTTCAAATCCTAGGTCTACCACCTGCGAGTTCTGCAACCGAGGGCACGTGAGCCAACCTTTCCGAACCTCACCGTCTGTCTGAAATTAAAGTAATAATCCCTCTCTCATAAGGGGATGAGGCCAGGGGATATATTATAATGCATGTAGAGTATTTAACCGTCCCTGTACACAGTATTGTGTAGACGCTAGCTCTGCTTCTAGCATTAGAGAGAGGAACTAGGTGAAGACGTGAACTGAAGAAGGAAGAATATGGGAAAAGGAGACGGAAAGTGTATAAAAGTGAGAAACATGGTGTGTGATGATGGTGGTTTTAAAGCTGCCAAAAAATGTCCCCAGCTACCTTTGATTGACACTCTTGACACACAAGGTTCACGACTGACCAGAGACCAAACCATTGACATGTTCCCAAATTTAAAGTCATATTGCCACCTGGTGGCCAAACTCATCCTCTTTTGAATTCTCCAAAGTCTGATGAACTAGCAGCTTCCAGTCCTAGATGTATTCTGAAGGTGATGTACAAAACTGTAAGGTCTGGTCCAAATTCTTCTACACACGGCACGAGTGTGTTGTTTCAGCGGTGTGCCAGGTACTCGGCTGGGTGCTGGGGACAAACTGTCAGGGCTCAAAATCCCGAGTCACCGACACTGCTGTCTCGTTGCCGCAGAGAACACAGCGCAGCACTGAAATCCTGCAGGACCTCACAGGCAGGAACGTCTCCGACTTCTTGGTAAAAACGTATCCTGCCCTTATACGAAGCAGGTAAGAAGAGACACTGTTAAGCCTTTCACCCTGGCTCCCTGTAGTACCTGTTAACTAATGGCAGATCATTTTCTCTCATGATTCATCAACACCAGGCCAGTGAAATTTTTTCCCCCCTAATTTGAGGGCCTGATCCAACAGAAGAAGCAATGAAGACATATGCAGACTAAAATGCAACTTAAGTTTAATATTTTTGTTGTTGTTCATCCTGAGCAGAGGATATTCTTCCATTAATTTCTAGATAGAGTGGGAGGGGTGGGGCAGGGGAGAGAGAGAGAGAGGGGGGGAGAAACATCCACATGAGAGAGACACATCGATTGGTTGTTTCCTGCATGACCCTGACGGGGGCCAGGGATTGAGCCTGCAATCCAGGTACATGCCCTTGACCGGCAATCGAACCCAAGACCCTTCGGTCCGCAGGCTGATGTTCTAACTGCTGAGCCAAACCAGCCAGGGCTAATTTTGTTTTTTGTTGTTTTGTTTAGATTAAGCAGCCTTAACAGTTAACCTGTGCACTATTAAAGTAAAATAAAGCCCATCTGGTGTGGCTCAGCGGTTAAGCGTCGACCCATGCACCAAGAGGCCACTAGTTCGATTCTCGGTCAGGGCACATGCCCAGGTTGTGGGCCCGAACCCCAGTGGGGGACATGCAGGAGGCAGCCAATCGATGTTCTCTCTCATCGATGTTTCTCTCTCTCTCTCTCTCTCTCTCTCCTTTCCTTTAGAAAAATCAATAAAGAAAAAATATAAAATAAAAAAGTATAGAATTTATCTAATAATACAGCCTCATATTTTAACTGGTTGACAAAGTTTGGAGGGAGGAGCGAGAATAAAGGTTGTAAAGCAGAGGAAAAAGAAACAAGACAGAAAAGTAAGAAGCAAAAAGCAGGAAGGAAAAACATTAGACGACGAGAGGATGGGCCAGTGGTATGTATCTGAGCGAGCATGCAGGTTGGCCAAGCTCACTGCACCTGTCACCCTCTAACTGTAAACCGTCATCTGCAGTGTTGCCCTTTAATAAGCCAGTGAAAGCTTCCGTGAGTGTCTGTTTCTCTCAGCTCTGCAGCTGTTATCAAGCTCCAGCTGGGGACAGATGGGCTTCAGCAGCCCCTGTGAGAGCAAGCAGCTTAACAAGAGCGTGCTACCAAGAGGGCATCACAGGGAGCCCCGATCCAGGCCCCACGTGCTCTGGGGCTTTAAAATAAAACATACTGTGGAATTTTAGTAGTATGTTCAAGTCGCTTCTCCTACCCAAGCCACGCACAAAGAATAAATGGGCTCAATTAAAACTAGAACACACTGCGGATAATGAAAGCAGCTGCTGAGAAGGCAATGCCAGGCCAGCTGTTAGCAAATAAAGAATGCCACCCAAGCCCCCAAATAAGAGCCGATGACGGGGTAAACAACAAGCATCCGAAACTTTGTTCGCAGCAGCAAGTTTGTACTACGGAACTTTGGGTTGACAATGGTAATTCGTGGGCCTGACCTGTGAGGTCCACAGTTAGCATCTTGCTGTTGTCTATCTTGTCGTTTTATCCCCGACTGGCTGGAAGTCAGTGTGAACTTCGGCTTGGAGGAAGCCAGAGCTTCCGCCAGGTGTGCAGGTGAGTCGTAGAGAGGGGAGGGCTGCAGCCTGCGCTCCACACGGGCAGGGCAGCTGGTCTGACAGATGCCTGACAACAGGGCCACCCAGAAAGCCCAGCATGTGGGATGGGACTTAGAGAGCCCGCAGTGGGAAACAGCAGTCCTTTCTCGGCAAGTGCATCCGGCTCGGCTCCCAGGCTGGGAGGTTTCCATATCGCTGGGGTATCAGGAAGAGCAGAAACGCCCCTGAAGACTGAGACGCCCAAGTGCGCACTGGGAAGGAAAGTTAACCCCACGGCTGGGCCTGTGGTATTCATTCCATGATTTGTTTTCACTTCCAGCTTAAAGAGCAAATTCTGGGTCAACGAGCAGAGGTAAGAAACTAGTTTTATAAGAACTTAAAATCTCAAATTGATCTATTTAAAATGCACATAGGAAAGCCACACTTCAAAGCCATGTAGACGGAATGTTGTATGTGCTCAGGAGGTCACAGGCCATGTCACCCTGGGCCCAGAAGATGCGGTGTTTGATCTCCACGAGGGACACAGATGTGAAGTGATAGTCCCTGCGCATATTCTCATTCAAGGCGGCTCCTAGCCCAAATGTCTAACAGTTTATTGTACTAACGAGAGGCCCTGCGACCGAAGCCCGGCACTCCGGGGCCCATCCCGTGAGCCGCAGGGAGTCTGGCCCGGCCCTCACACACCTCGTTCCTGAGGCACTGCAGACGTGAGTGGTTCCGGAGGTCTGGAGAGTCCTCCAGGGACACTCCGGGCGTGAGCCGGTCTCCTGGGCTCTCTCGGGAACGGCCTCGAGAATAACACGCAGAGTTGATGTTGACTTGATTCCAGACCATAAAAGTGAAATCCAGCTTTTAGAATTGCTCCCTGGACGGAAATAGGGGTCCTCAGCTGAAGCAGGAAGTCGGGGGCAGGGGGAGCACAATTTGAGTCCCTAAGAAATAAAGTTCAGCAAGTTAATTTTGTTTCGTAGAGGAGTTTGGCTTTTATCCTGCCACTGGACAGGTTGAAGCCAGAGAGCGAAGATGCCCAGGTCTGAGTATGAGCGTGATCACTGGAAGGTTCCAGAGCAGTGTGGGGGATGGGCTAGGAGCAGAGGGACCGGAGGCTAGGATCTCATTACGAACTAGAGCTTGAGTCAAGGTTGGAGCTGGTGAGGGAGGCCTGGGGGAGGGGTGGGGAGAGGCCCTGACAGTCGGGCACAGCCGGACTGGTCCTGATGAGATTATGGGGAGTCCCGCTGCCTGTAAGGCCCAGAGATGGCACAGGACAGGAACTGTGGGCCGGGGAGAGTCAGGGAAGACTTCAAAGACAACATGACATGTGACAGAGGAGTCGGAGTTGGACTGATGCTCAAGAAAGGAACAGGCACCTTGGGACCTAGCGGCCCTGCAGGGCAACCTGGACCCTTGGCAGCTGTGTGAGCGATTGGGCATGGCCGGGTCGCGCTCAGGGGAAGGCACAGGAGGGTGGGAGAGGTAGGCTGAGGCCAGGCTCAGAGGGATGAGCACTCACCTGGGCGCGATGAGGAAGCATTAAAGCTGGTTTGGAAAGTGCAGCCACATTGCTCCCTGGTGCAGACAGTTCCCCCCGAAGTACACATATCCCTGAGGAACAGAGCGGCTGGCAGGCGTGAGCGCCACAGACGTGGTTCAGGGCGCTGGTCTGAGGGCTTCCTGTCCCCTGGTCAGGTACGGGGGAATTTCCATCGGAGGAAAGCTCCCAGCTCTCCCGGTGACCGGGGAAGCACTGGCTGGGCTCCTGAGCGACCTCGGCCAGATGATGAACGTGAGCGGGGTATGTAACGGACTGCAGGTCTGGGTAGGACTTTCCCCGCGCCCGTTTTAGGAAACAGATTCTCCTGAGTGCTAAGGGAGAAAATCAAAGCCCTCTTCTTATCCATTACGGTTCTCTAGGGCCCTGTCACCAGGGAGGCCTCTAAAGAAATGTCTGCTTTCCTCAAGCATCTGGAAACGGAGGACAACATTAAGGTATCGGCCCTGCATAGCCTGCCCTCGGGCTAAACATTCCCGTGAACTGGTCACTGCATCTTTATTTTCCCAGCTTAATTAAATTCCCTCGCGTCTCCAGCTGAAACCCACCATGAACCGTCTTCCAGCCGCCAAGCCTTCCTCCTCCTCACATTCCTTCAGGCCCGGTTTTTTCCGTAAACAGCTGTTGTCAGCACAAGCCTCGGGTCATGTCCGGCCCAGCCTGACGGACCCCGTCTCCGCCCTCCAGGTGTGGTTTAACAACAAGGGCTGGCATGCCCTGGTCAGCTTTCTCAACGTGGCGCACAACGCCATCCTGCGAGCCAGCCTGCGCCCAGACAGGGACCCCGAGGAGCACGGCATCACCGCCGTGAGCCAGCCCCTGAACCTGACCAAGGAGCAGCTCTCCGAGGTGACAGTGTAAGCCGCCAGGGCCCCCAGCCTTGCACCTGCTTGTAGCCCTCGCCTCTCTCCGGAGGGCCGGGAGGATCCGGGAGGGTTTTCACTGACAGGAGCTGAGGGCTGGGTGGCAGGGCTGCTCAGCCGGCAGACATGACCGTGACTTTCAGCGCTGTGTACCAGACTGCCGGGCCTTGGGCCTCCCCTCGCGCATTAGGGAAGTGGGCCTGTGTTTGCTCACGTTCCCTTCAGCTCTAGGTGCGAGGTTGCTTCGGGAGCGCACATGGATATCCTCCCCTGCAGTCCGTGAAGGGACTGCCGGGAAACCAGGGGGCTCAGTAAATATTCCGTCTCCCTGGCAGTAATTATCTCAGATCTCGGTCATTTCCCCCCGACGTCAGGATGGTGACCTTCCTCAAGCTTAGGCTCTTACTGCACAGCTTCAGGCAAGAAAAACATCAGTCTTGTGCAATCTGTAGTATGTCTGTAGCCTTCGTGAGTGCGAACCCCTTCTGGGAGGCTGTGGGGTCCTCACTTTCCCGTCCCAGTACACTCTGAGCGCCCGAACACGGGCCCTCCACCTGCGCAGTGTCACTGGCTGAGAGTCGGGCCCCGGGCCCTGGGGCCTTTCTTCATCACCCTCCGGGCCCTCACCTGAGAACGAAGTCTGTCCTGTGTTCATCTCACTCGGCCCTGCCACGTCTCCTGAATCTAAAACATGAAATAGAACTTATCTATGACCCTACACAGCGTAGGGTGTTTCCTCTGAACATGTTTGCGTGTTTCCTTTCCGTCATGTGCGTGTGTGGGTCATGCTAGTTCTCATGTCATGAGGACACCGACCAGCACCTATGGAGCCTTTGTGGGAGCTGGCTAAAGGTGCTCCTTCTCCAGGCGGGCTCTGTGCTGGGCAGGGGTCCCGGCTTGTCCGTGGAGTCCAGGCTGGACTGCAGCCCGCACTTGCCCTCGGCCAGATGCCTCTTCCGGATCCGGGAAGAGCGACGGGAGCCAAGTCCGGGATAACAGGCCTGTTCTCTCCTCCCTTAAACTCACGTTATGAACATCTCTCCTAGTCAGGATGGATTCCACGTTCTAACAAGATACTTTACTTCTTTTAACAAAAGGAATAAATTTCACAGGCCATGTGACAATCTACCTGGAAATTTTAAGAGAGTCTAAGACAAATTATTGGAATTGATAAGAGCACAGTAGTATATGATATTAATACAAAAATTCATTTCTATAACCATCGACGAATAATTTGAAAATGTAATAAAAAGCTTATTTATATGTTCATATTAAAATGGAACAATATTCAACATTAACATGGAACAGAAAGCCCAAAAATATCCCCTTAACCTTGACCTGGCTTAAGCCAGTTGGATGAAATGACGGACGTCAGGCTGCGAAGGGGTTCTGGAGGCTGTTCCCTGGGCCTGGGTGAGCCTCCCCAGAACCTGACCTTGTTTTCCTCCTGCATCTGCTCCTCCTCCTCCACCCCCATCCCCGCACCTCCTGTCCCGCTGCAGGCTGACCACGTCTGTGGATGCTGTGGTCGCCATCTGCGTTATTTTCGCCATGTCCTTCGTCCCGGCCAGCTTTGTCCTCTACTTGATCCAGGAGAGAGTGAATAAAGCCAAGCACCTCCAGTTTGTCAGCGGAGTGAGCCCCATCACCTACTGGCTGACCAACTTCCTCTGGGACATTGTAAGTGTCAGGTCCTCTCTCACCTCCCTGGCCTAAGGGGTGGGCACTGTGTCTGCGCGCAGGGACTCAGCAGGGTGGAGCTCTCGCTGTGCAGAGGGCCTTGTGTGTCTGCTGTCCGTGACATCTTAGAAAGGCACCGCTAGGACCCTCGAGCCAGGGACTAATGTAGGGCTCAGCTGAACAGCTGCTGAGTCGGGGCTCTGCAGGCCCTGCTCAAGGGGCCTTCTGACCCGTCCAATAGTTACTGCAGCGCAGGAATGGGCTGGCCTTCCCGAGCATAATCGGGAGCAGAAGTAATAGCAAGCAGACCTTTACCCCACAGTCTCTTCTTAAATCCTGCCCCGCCCCCAAAGGGGTAAGGACGGAGCTTCCCCTGTGGCAGAGTCAGCAGGTAAATATAGGACACCCCGTTTTACTTGAATTTCCGATAAACAATGAATTTTGAGAGTACGTTTTACCCCTAACATTGTGTGGGACATAGTTGTCCTAAACAATGCACTTGCTGTTTATTTGAAATCAAATTTACCTAGGCACCTGTATTTTATTTCCTAACTCGGGCAACCCTACCCAGTGACCTTCGTTTGCATTCCCAAAGCAGCCAGACCATCACCACATCAGTTTAGCCACCGAGTTAGGGGAAATGAAGAAAAGTTATTGAGCAAATCAACAGCTCGCAACCAGTATCCGAGCAGGCAGGGAGGGGTCAGCATGGGCTACTTCATGACAGGCCACAGGGTCCAAGGTTACTGGCAGCCAAGACCTAGTTACAGGACAGTGGAGACCATTATGACACTCCAGTGGTGTGTCGGGTGATGGGGTCCTTTGTTTTATCCCAGCATCCTAGCACCCATGTGAGTCCCCACGTGTGACATGACACATCACCATGGAGACCGCCACAAACAACCTTCTCCACTATGACTCTTCATAACGATGACAAATATTAGGATTCCGAGAGAATTAATTTATTTATCTTACTCAACTTAATAAGCAGCTGTCACTTAACAAGACAAAACCAGAAATGATCAGTAGCAGCTACATTCTTTCCTCTGTGCTCTGTCTGGATGAGAAGCACTCATGAACACAGGGGAGGAAGTCGGAGTCCAGAGCCTCCCTGTGGACGAGCACATCGCTTACAGGAGTCTGCACTGGCCTTGTGCTCTGAATGAGAAAAGAGCTCGGCTCACCTGCGCTGAAAAGTTATCAACGTGCTAATTTTTTCACTCTACATTTCTTAGAAGACAGGGAACAGAATTTAGAGTTGGGGCTGACCCATGCATGTGCCTGGCTACATGTCTGAGCCTAAGGGGAGATATGTGGATAGAGGACAGAGTGGTGTCCCGGGGGAGATGATACCAGCAAAGTAGACACCCCATGAAGACTTAGAGAAGGGTGGGTATGATGTTAGCAGGCTTCCTGATGCTCCAGACCAGAAGGTTCTCAACCTTCTTAATGTTGCAACCGTTTAATACAGTTCCTCATGTTGTGGTGACCTCCAACCATAAAATTATTTTTGTCGCTACTTCTTTACTGTAATTTTGCTACTGTTATGTCTTAGGCGACCCCTGTGAAAGGGTCGTTCAACCCCCAAAGGGGTCACGACCCACAGGTTGAGAACCGCTGCTCTAGACTATTTCGTGTAGCCTGGAATTCACACTCTGGGATCTAAAGTGTTGGCGCTTAGCACCCTCACTGGGTAGTGGCAGAAAGGCTATGCGTACCTGGGGGTTGTGACTGAATGAATGAATAAACGCTCACTCTTTCTATCATTCATTCAGCACGTATATGATATTGTAAATTCTTATGTTTTTATTATATCACAATTTTTTCTTTTAAATTTTGAGACAATAGCAAACTTACAGAAATGTTGCAAGGACAGTTCAAAATGGTTTTTCAGAGTCATTTGAGAATAACTTCCCAATAAGGTGTCTGTTCACACATGCGTACACGTGCATGCGCGCACACTCACACACACACACACACACACCCGCACTGATGCTTCGTCTCCATCTATTCCTCAGACCCCACTGCAGTTTCATCACTTACCTGAATGATGTCTTTTATAGAAAAGCCTCCAGCTCAGAATCATGCCTTGAATTGAGCTGTGCAGTCTCTCCAGTCCTCCTCAGCCTGGAACGTTCCACCAGTTGTTCTCTGATACTCATGACAGGCCAACAGTTTTGCAGAATGCCCTTCAGTTTGGACTTGCCCGACGTTTCTCATGGTCAGGGTCCGGGCACGGCGGCGGCAGCACAAAGGATGCTCTGCTCGCTGCATTCCAGTTCGCCCTGTTCCTCGTGGTGGGGACTCGAGCTTCTCCACTGTGAAGTTACCCTTTTTCTCTTTATAATTAATAAGAATGTGGGGAAGAGGTCCTTTAAAGTGGTGTAAATATCCTGTTTGTTATCAAACTTTTCAATCTTCCATGTATTTGTTTGTAACTAAATGGAGTCATTTTTCCCTGTGTTAGTCCATGGATTACAACTGCATACAATTATTATTTATGCTGATGCCCAAAGTGTCCCCAGTTTGGCCAGTGGAGCCTGTTCGAGCTGCCTGCTGCCTCCTTTGGCGTGTGTCCCATGTCCTGGAGCACCTCCATGCTCTCTGGCAGGTTCCAGGTTCACCCTACACCCCCCATCCCTACCTGGAATCAGCTGTGTCCCCAAGGAACCCTGGCCCTCACAACCAAGATCTGGGTGCTAGATAGGTGCTGTGCTACTGAGGTCTCCATGGTCCCAGGCCTTCTTGGTGGAGAGAACTAGAGGACATATGTATGTCTATACATAGATAAAACATTTACATCTCTGTTTATCTACCTATTCACTGAACACGGTGGGCTCCCTGACACCTCTAGTTCCAGTCCAGCACCGGAGGCTCGCTATCGCTTTCCATATGTGTGACTCCCTCCTCCAAGAGCGAGACACCAGCTTGTGTCACTCCCAACTATTTACCTGCCTGAGTAACGCACCTGTAATTAGTCCCCTATCCCTGCCACCATCCCCTCCACCATGTGGACACCCTCCTTTCCTGCCCCAGCTAACCCGACGTGGAGGTCCCCCTCACTCCGCTCTGGCTCAGATGCCCCCACCACGTCAGTGCCCTCCTCACCCCCGGGACTCCAGCACCCACTAGCCCACCCTCTGGGAGACACCCTCCTCACCCTTCTTGGGTTCTCATCCTGTGCAGGATCACTGTGACCCCACCCCTGGCCCCAGCATGCTGCCCACGACTCCCTGTCCTGATGCTTTAGGACTGAACGGCGTAGAGAAGGAAGAGAAGGGAGAAAGCAATGGAAGGGTTTCATGCATTGGAGCTTCATGAGGCCAGGGACTATATCTTAAATTCTTCTGAATGTTGGAGACATATTTAGAAAGTAGAATCAATAGGACTTCATGACCAATTAGAAAGAGAGAATGAGAGATTGGGTAGAATTTCATCATTCATTCTTTTAAAACATACAGACTGGCTTGGCCGGTTTGGCTCAGCGGTTGAGCACTGACCCATGCACCAAGAGGACACCAGTCCGGTTCCCAGTCGGGGCACATGCCCAGGTTATGAGCCAAATCCCAAGGGGGAGCATGCAGGAGGCAGCCAATTGATGTTCTCTCTCATTGATGTTTCTCTCTCTCTCTCCCTCTCCTTTCTTCTCTCTCTAAAATCAATTTTAAAAATATTAAAAAATAAATAAAACATACAGACTGAAGGGCCCCTGCAGAGGGAGGACGTGGTGGGATAGGAGGACTAGGGACAACCTAACATGTTTGATAACCAAGAACTGTTCAGACAAATAGAACAGATCCCAGACCACATGTGCCGGAGGGACTGGCCCGTCCTGGTTTGACAGCCAGGAGGCACAGGTGCAGAGCTCAGTGCCTTGCTCCCCTCCTCTCTCTTCAAGACGAATTACGCTGTGAGCGCTGCACTGGTGGTGGGCATCTTCGCCGGGTTTCAGAAGAAAGCCTACACGTCTCCCAGCACCCTGCCCGCCCTCGTGGCGCTGCTCATGCTGTACGGGTGAGTTTGGGCCTCGAGCTAATGCCCTGGAAAGGAAGCTAGAGGAGCCGCCTGCTCTCCTGGCTGCAAACCCGGCTCCCGGGGGCAAGGGTAGCTTCCAGCCCCCAGCGGGGTCCTCCGCCTGACCCGAAACCTGTGGCCTCTGGTTCTGACTCCTCATGTGAGGGTGTCCTAAGGCTCGGCCCACTCAGGGAAAATGGAGATGCCCACCTGGCCTGAATCTCCGTCCATTCAGACTGCGGCCTAACCGAGATCTGGGTCAGCCACGCCCTGTTTCTCACCCAGCCGTGATTCTGACTCACCTGCAGCCGATCTGAACGTTTCGGTGTCTCCATCGGCACTGGCCAAGACTGTGTGCACGCAGTAGAAGACTCCAGCTAGGAGCTGCTGCTGAGTCGGAGCCGGAGGGTGGCACAGAGGTTGCATTTAGTGGAATCGTACAGCGAAGCTGCAGCTCTCTATGCAGGCTCGCACATGCTGCCTGTGTGCTGTGGACAATCTATACACCTCATCTAGGCCTCAGTTTTCCTACCTGTAAAATGGAGATAATGACACGCGGCCCTTCCCATGTGGGCCAGCAGAGTCACCAGAGCAGGGGGCTCCATTATCTCTGCATTCGGGAAGCAGCACGTGTGAGACCCGGCAGCTGCACTGAACTGTTGGGATCTCAGCTCAGCTTTGCTGACCCAGACTAGGGTGGAAAGCACTGCAGGCAGACAGTGGTCCTGTGCGGTGTAAAGGCCTCATAACTTACGTACCTTCACCGCCACTGACTCAAGCGGTCCTCACAAAACCCCATGAGATGGTCAGGGAAGGCATCGTTATCTCAGCTCAAAGACGAGGAGCAAAGACCAAGGCTGGCGTCTCTCTCTGGTCTCCCTGGGACTCTCGCCAGTTCAGACCTACCACTTCCTGTGTGAGGGGAAGGCGGCAGATGGAATGGAAGTTGGCCCTCATCCCACTGACGGTGTCATTTCACACAGGTGGGCCGTCATTCCCATGATGTACCCAGCGTCCTTCCTGTTTGATGTCCCCAGCACAGCCTACGTGGCCTTGTCTTGTGCTAACCTGTTTATCGGCATCAACAGCAGCGCCATCACCTTCATCTTGGAATTATTTGAGAATAACCAGGTGAGTATGACTTTCTCGGCTTCCTTGCTTGATTACCGGGAGACTAAAGCGTATGTGACAGTCACGCAGAGCGCAAGCTTAGTGCATAAATGGATGTTGCTCGCCCCTCCCTTCCTCCCTCCCTCCCTCCCTCCCTCCCTCCCTTCTTCCCTTCCTTCCTTCCTTCCTTCCTTCCTTCCTTCCTTCCTTCCTTCCTTCCTTCCTCCCTCCCTCCCTCCCTCCCTTCTTTCCTTCCTTCCTTCCTTCCTTCCTTCCTTCCTTCCTTCCTCCCTCCCTCCCTCCCTCCCTCCCTTCCTCCCTTCCAGTTTTTCTTTCTTTAAACCCTTATTTGTGTGTCATGGTTTTCTGAGCTCATTCTCAAGCTATAAATGACCTTTCATGATCCTTTTACTCCTTCAAAAAGGTCTTCCTGAGGATTTGGGTTGTTAGGTTTTCCACACACACACACACACACACACACGCACACACACACACACTCACGTGATCTCAGAATGTAAAAGGAGCAGAAGGCGTACGACGACGCCTCCTTCCTGCTCCTGTTCAGCAGCCGCCTCGTTCCCTTCTCCAGAGACAGCCTTTCATTTGTTTCTTATGTGTTCTGGAGACACATAAGCAATTACATATACAGTCTTTTTTCACTTTCTTTCTTTTTTTTATCCTCATCCAAGGACATTTTTGCATTTATCTTCAGATAGAGCAGGAAGGAGAGAGGGAGGAAGAGAGAGAGAAACATTGATGTGAGAGAGACACATTGACTGGTCGCCACCCACACGACCCCAACCAGGGCCGGGGACAAACTGCCACCGAGGTACGTGCCCTTAGCGGGAACCGAACCCGGGACTCTCCGGTCTGTGGGCTGATGCTCTAACTGCTGAGCCAAACCGGCCAGGGCTTTCTCCACTTTCTTATGCAAATTGTAACAGAGTAATATATACTTTTCCACCTGAAAATTAATCCTGAGGAGAGGGTTAGGAATGCGTGTGCTGAATGAGTCACTTTACGACCTGTGAAGTCCAGTTGTCCCATCCGCGGCCCCAGCTTCTCTTCACCCAGGAACCGCTGGCCAGACGGGGTCCTAACCAGAGCGGCAGCGGCTGTGGGGCTGCCTCAGCTCCACGCTCCCACCCCGCCGGCTGTGTCTGCGCCCTGGCCGTGGCTGTCCCGGGGACCCAAGGGCTGGCGGTCATGCCCATGGGCCTGTGTCCCCAGTGTCCTGTCTAGCCTTCCTTCCCTCGCCGGGTCTTCGCGTTTCGGAGGGTGGGCACCAGCCGCTCTCCGTGCTGTGCGGCAGCCCCGCCCCCACTCGGGCTTCTGGGCCCTGCGGGGGGTCGGGGGGGGGGGACCCACAGCACATCTGCACTAACCGCCGTCTCACGGCTTCCTGCCCGGGACTCCTTCCCGGGCCGCGTCAGGCTGCCCGTGGCCGGGGCTCCTTCCCGGGCCGCCTCAGGCTGTCCGTGGCCATGGGAAAGAATGAGCCCCACACTCCCATCCTGTGGCTGATAGAAAATAAACCATTTCACAGGCAGACCCCAGAAGGGAGGTGGATGAGGCCAGAGCCCCCCGCCCCCCTGGCCAGAGCACCCTGGCAGATGAAAACGCTGCTCTTCAGAGACGTTTTGTCACAGGCTCATGGCCAACTAAGTCTTAAGAGCGCGTGTCACTTCAGAATAATTAAATAGTAAGCTTAAATCAATTCAAGACACCCTGCTCCTCCCGGCTGCACCCCTTTAGCCAACGTTTACTGACGCGCCCTCCTCTGCGTCAGAACTGGCGGCTTTCACACAAACGGTCAGACGGATGCTGCAGGAGGAGGCTCCCGGGCCCCCGGAGGTGCAGTTCCTACTCAGTCAAGAGGTTGTCAGCTAAGCGAACAGCACGCAATGGATGTGCCGAAGTCCACAAGTCTGACCCTCACTGCCCTCCAGGAGCTCCCCTCCGAGCCAGGAGGTGACCTGACCCACGTAGGAACTGACCAAACCTGGGGCATGGCATTCCACGCGACAGAGCATCGAAGGGGAGAGGCAGGTCAGAGCAGGCCCAAAGAGCTCGGCTGCAGGGACCAGGACATCTTGGTGGAGGAAATCCAGTTTAAGCCTGGCCTGGGATATGTAGCATTTTATGAGCCCATTTAATAAATAATGAAGTGCCTACTGTGAGCTAATCGTTGTATAAAGTGTTTAGGAAAGATACCAAATGCTTAGGACCCAGTCCCTGTCCTCCGGGGAACCACTGACTAGGGGAGAAAGCAGGCAGGTAAAAATAAAATTAACCCTGGCATTATGGAACATATTATGAGAGATGAGTGGGTATTTTACCATGGGAATCTGGAAAGGCTTATGAGAGGAGGGGTCATGGGATCCAGCTTTGCAAAGAAGGGCGTGCTTTCCTGCTAAGAGCGATGGTCCCAGAAGCTGCACGTGCAAAGGCCCAGAGGCAAAGAGCAGAGTGCCTTTGGGAACAGTGGGGCAGGGGGAGGCTGGAGAGGAAGGAGGCTATGTGGTGGGGATGGACCAGATAAGTGGGCAGCAGTGGCCTGCAGCCTCACCTCCTTTCTGTCCCCTCTGCCGCTCGGGGGAGGCTCTGCCTGACACTTCAAGGCTGAGGCAGCAAGTACAATCTGATCACCTGAAAACAAGTCGCCCAACTCAGCATAGACACCAGAGAGAGTCTCTGCCTGCTTTAGTGCTGGTGGCATCCTCACACAGCTCCTCGTGTCCCGTGGGAGCTGGAAGCAGAGCTGGGAGATGCTCTCGGACCCTGTCCCCTTCGGTCTAAGCTGAGCTATGATAGAGCAGATAAGGGAGCCTTAGTCCCCTGTGACCGCCACGGCTCACGACTGTGCCCAAGGAGAGAGCCCGGGGGCACTCCCGGCAGCTGCTGCCCTCCTGGTACCAAGTGCCTTGGGAGCATGTGTAATTCCAAAGTGGGTCTGCAGTGGGCTCCCCAGGAGGCACCTCCTGGATGTATTTCAGAGTTGTCCCGTCTGCCCTCCTGTGGACAGCCTGGCCCCTCTGCAGTCCTTCCCCGGGTCCATCCGGAGCCCCTGGTCCTTCCAGGGCCCCCTGCTCAGGAGGGGCGGGCGGGCGAGGCTGCAGCCCTGACTGCCCTGCTTCTCTGTGTTTCAGCCGCTGCTCCGACTCAGTGCCATGCTGAGGAAGCTGCTCCTCATCTTCCCCCACTACTGCCTGGGCCGGGGCCTCGTTGACCTGGCGCTGAGCCAGGCCGTGACAGACGTCTATGCCCGGTTTGGTGGGTGGCAGTTGAGGCTGGTCGCGCATGGCCCTGGATCCTTTGAGGCTGGGAGGGCTGAAGCAGGAGTTCCTACCCAGACCCGCAGCCTGGGCTGGGAGCGGGGTGGGGTGCACGCACCTGGTCGGTCTGGGTTGTTCTGCCACCTAGAAGGGGCCGGGGCGCCTGTCTCCTGGGCTGAGGAGCCACAGGACGGGCGGAGGGCAGGCTCCACTCTTCCCGACTCTGACTCCAGGAGCCGAGATGAGACTCATGTTGGGCTCTTGCCTAATTCCTTGCATAAGGGCTGGTCTAGCTGAGCCAAGTGTGAAACTAGGTCTTTGGGGGCTGCTGGGGCAGCAGAGTGGATGGACTTCATTCCTGTCGCTTTCCGGTGGCCTCTGTCCCCAGGTGAGGAGAACTCTCCCAATCCATTTCAATGGGACCTGGCTGGGAAGAAGCTGGTTGCCATGGCGGCAGAAGGGGTGCTGTACTTCCTCCTGACCCTCCTCATCCAGCATCACTTCTTCCTCACCCGATGGTACGTCCCTGCCGCTGCCCTGAGGCTGCCCACCTCCGGGAATTTGGCTTTGCATCCGCATGGTCACCTGTTCCTCACGAGCCCCACACCGTGATGGCTTTTACATTCTCAAGGCCTGGCTCTGAATAATGCAAGAGGAAGAGACACGTTAAAATCGGCACAAAAGAATCTGTGAATCACCTCAACTTTGACGTACTTAAAATACAATGTTATGGGTTTCAATCACTAATATTTAACCCCTCACTTAGTTAAAGATATTCGGTTTAAATTGGATGGTAGCATGGCAAATGATAATGGTTAGGGGGTATGCAAAGTATAGCTGTGTGGCTCACAGAACAGACAAAGGAGGCCCCTTTGCTAATTAAAGATGCGAGAATAGGGGCAGGGCGGGGGGAGGGAGTGATATGGGGTGATATGAATGAGTGCAGCCAAGATCAATGTTGGGGGGCAGTGATAGTGCCCTCTCCGGGGAGGAGGGTGCCCACCGCACCCCAGCCCAGCCATTCTTCCCCAGGCTCCTGCCCAGACCCTGCCCCCTCCCGACGTGGGCGCTCAGGGCTCCAGAAGGCAGCCTGTCTGCAGCACAGCCTCACCTTTCCGGGCCGGGCCCGGGGGACTGACCGCCAGTCGCTGGGCCCTCAGAGCAAGCCTCCCTCGCAGGCAGAATCTGGTCACATGTAAATGAGTCAGAGGACGTGTGTTTAGGTTTTGCTCCAGAGAGAACTCAGTTATTAGAAACAAATCAACCACCCTACTCACAGGGTTGAGGACTGAATGAAATAAGGACGAGAACCCAGGGCTGACTCTGGGCTTGAGCACTTGCCCTCTCTGCCTGAGGCCTCTCCTGTTGGGAGTCCTTTAGAGAATTCCTGTCTCAGGGGGTAGAAAGCCAGGCCGGGCAGAGGTGAGGGGGGGATGGGCAGGAGGAAGAGGACGGTGTTGAGGACGCTGGCCCCAGCCCAATCCCGCCCTTTCCTTCCGCTAGGATTGCCGAGCCCACCAAGGAGCCCGTCGTGGATGAAGATGATGATGTGGCTGAAGAAAGACAAAGGATTGTTAGTGGGGGAAATAAAGCTGATATCTTAAGTCTAAACGAACTGACCAAGGTGAGGAAATCGGCGCAGGCGTGTTAGTTTGGTGGTGCCAGTTGGACCCAGAGATGGCACAGCGCTGCAATCCGCCTTCTGTAGGATAAGTATACACCTGTGCCAGTGATTTGTTTTTCTAATTTTTTTTTCTTTATTGATTTTAGAGAGGAAGGCAGAGGAAGAGAGAGATAGAAACATTGATGAACAAGAACACTGATTGGCTGCCTCCTTTTTGTCCCCCACTGGGGATCAGGCCCACAACCTGGGCATGTGCCCTGACCGGGAATCGAACTGGCGACCTCTTGGTGCATGGGTCAACGCTCAACCACTGAGCCACACCGGCCAGGCTGTTTTTCTAGTTTTGTGGGGGCTTGCCATCTTTGTGTTCAGCTTGCCTTCCGAGAACCTAGAATTCCAGGGCATGTTCCCTGGTGCTCACGGTGGGTGCTGACCAGGGCCTCGGCCAGAGCCGCGGCAGCTGAGCCGACCAGTCTTCCTCCAGCTGGTCTCGGCACAGGCTCCGTGTCGGGGTTTCTGGGGCTCACAGCCCCCTCTGAAAGCCCTTTAATCTGTAGCCTCTTGGTGCTGCCAGTTCCCACCTAAGCCATCGGTTGCTCTCTTGCCTTCCCTGCTCGAACCTCTCCGTCCTCAGTCCAGTCTGTTCTTGCAGGTTTACTCAGGCACCTCCAGCCCGGCGGTGGACCGGCTGTGCATGGGAGTCCGTCCTGGAGAGGTGGGTTCTCTGCGGGTCTCCCCGGAAAGGGCTTTAGAAAATGGGCTCCTGTGCACCTTCTCCTCCCCGCTAAAGCCGAGCCGTCGGATCGCTATAAAACTCAAGTCTCCACGGGTCATTTCTAATTTCCTAGTAGCCACATGAGAAAGGTAAAAACGGGTGAAGTTCATCTTAATTTCCTTTTTTATCCAATACATCTGAAATACTGTCACTTCAACATGTAATTCATCTAAAACATTATTTATTCTTTTGTTTTGCTCTAAGTTTTCAAAATCATGGTGTTTTGCCCTGGCTGGTGTGGCTCAGTGGTTAGAGTGTTGGCCCACATTCCAAAGGGTCACAGGTTCGATTCCGGGCCAAGGGCATGCACCTCAGTTGCAAGTTCGATCCCGGGCCCCAGCTGGGGCACTTGCGGAAGCCAACTAATCATTGTGTCTCTCTCATATCGATATTTCTCTCTCTCTCTCCCCCCTGCTCTCTCTGCCCCCACCCCTCTCCCTTCCTCTCTCTCTAAAAATCAATGGGAAAAAAAATCCCCTGGTGAGGATTAAAAATAACAAAAACAAAATTCAGTGTGCATTATACTTAAGCATGTCCATTCAGACTAGACGCATCTTTAGTGCTCATAGCCACTGTTGGGGGGAAACCCTCTTTCCCACTACCCTCCTAGGTTCTCGGGCTCCGTCAGTTGCTCCGACAAAGCACAGATGAACAAGACAGGGACAAAGAGAAGTTTGTTAGCAGGTGCATGAGGAAAGAAGTGACGCAAACGGGTGGCTGGAACTGGGCTTATGCGGCACCTTAGCAAAGGGACGACGGTTTCGGAGAAGTGCCGAGACAGCACAAAGGGACGGGGGTTTCTCGGGAAGCAGCCTGTGGGAGGCACACACGGGGAGCTAAGGGGGGTAACGGCAGTTAGTCACTGTGTGGTGTAGGGTCCCCTGGTGCCATCTCCAGACTGCTGTTCAGGGATTAACTTGTCTTCCCTGGCAGAGGGGAGGGAAACCCCTTGTGAACCTCTGTCCTGCTCGTAGGCAAATAGGGAAAGGGCAGAAAGCTTTTCCTGCACCTGCTTCTCAGTGGCCTTCCGCGCAAGACCATCTTTGCGCCAGAGTGGCCCATGTCGGGCAGCACGTTCTGCTTCCCTGCACCACGTGGAGCTCTGTGGCCTCCTGATGGGAGAACAGGTCTAAAATGCCCCCGACCCCAATATCCCGCACATAGTCCGGACCGTCCCGGGCTCTCGGGTGAGGCCAGTGCTGTGTCTTCCTCCTCAGTGCTTTGGCCTCCTGGGAGTGAATGGAGCCGGCAAAACAACCACTTTCAAGATGCTCACTGGGGACACCACAGTAACCTCAGGCAATGCTACCGTAGCAGGCAAGAGGTACGTGTCCTTCCGTCCTGTCCCAGGATATTCTCACAGGTCCTGGGCCATGTGTCTGTCCCCTATGGAGGGTGACATCAGACTCTGTCTGAGGGTGACTGAGAGCCTGGAACATCCGAGCAGAGGGCTGGGCCTTCCGGTGAGCCCCGTTCAAAAAGTCCAAGACATAGACTGGAAAACTGAATCGCGATTGGTAGGAGTTTCCTCTGTTGCAGGGACTCCCAGAAAGTCCTGGATGCACAGTCATGACTCTTTCAGAGTCATGAACTCCTTTGAGAATCAGATGAACACTTGCACCTTCCTCCTTTGAAGAATACTTGTCCCTCGAGACCTCCCCACGTATGTTTGCAAAGAGTTTTTGGGACTTGACTGAGCCCTGAAGCATTCATGGCCCTGCAGGATCCCCGGGCCCCAGGATGAGAACCCCTGTCATGAAACATCCTTTCTCTGAGCTTCTGGATGGGGTTGGTTCCAGGTCCTAGGGGGCCCTAATCTTCACTGGCTATTTCTGTGCCGATGCTTGGTTTGGCCAGGCCAAGGAACCTTTATAAAGGCAAAAGTGGCATGCGCCCTTGGGTTCTGGAGGGTGATTTCTGTGCTTTGTAGTCAGGTGCGAGTGAACAGGCAGCCCTCTGGGCACAGGTCAGGGAACAGGCGCTCACACCTGTCTGCCTCTTTCCAGCTGCTCCCAGAGCTGTGCCCAGAGGAGCTTGGTGCCGGGGGTATAGGTGGGGTTGGGCACTGCTCACGTCTGCCCAGGACTTGCCTGACTGGGCCTCATCGCCTTAGAGTCATCCTCAGCATGGCCAATGCCACCGGGCACGGGGACTCCTAGGCACGCCTCACTGGCTCAGACAGCATGGATTTGGTTCCCTGGCCATCCCTGTTGGGGCCAGCGCAAAGGGACTGGCAGGGGGGAGTGAGACCACGGCTGGATCTATCTCAGCTGCAGTTTCGGCGTAGCTTACAGTCGAGCATATGATTTCACAGTGGTAACAAGACGAGTCGTGAGGGGTGGGGGGTGGAGGACAGGGTTTGTAATAGGATCTGCCATAAGACATAAAGTTATAGTCCAAGTGAGACACAGTCTGATGCTCAGAAGTTAAAACCAAGATGGAAGCTAGAAAGAAACTATAGGTTGAAGACACAGATTGGGGCTCTCCGGTTTTGAGGCTCCTATGAATTTAACAAAGCACACCCCTTGCTTCCCTGAGTGGTTTTACTTGGCCCAGACATACCTGGAGTCATTTCCGTCACCGTGGGGACTGTCATAGAGGATGGCCTTGCCCTGTCCCATCCTACTGTGTCCTCCTCTATTCATAGACCCTAAGCTATAAGGGAAAGGGGGGACACATTAGACCACTCTGTGGACAGTTTATTTTTACATCAAGGCAATGTATTTTAGTGGGGAGAATAGATCAGTCAGAGGAATTAATAAAACTCAATTCACTTCATCTCCTCTCCCTGCCCTGCCAGCCTCTTGCTCAGGGTGGGGTGTGTGTGACCTGTTTGGTTCTATTTCATTGACTGTATCTCTGCCAATAAATACAGATGGAGAAGTTTACTTCCTTGGGAAACATAGATCTTCTCTAGCTACTTCCCAAATGTCTGAAAGGGATCAAATATCACTGTTCCGTTTCTGAAACCTGATCTTCTCTTTGTTTTTAAACTAATATGCGAGGCGATCCAATCCCAAACCAAAGCTGATTTGGGCAATAGGTATTCAGTTTATCCTAGACAGAGAAACTGGAGGACCTGACTGCATTCAAAGCTCAGAACTCCTGAAGTTCCTCAGGTTAGAACCGAGGGCCCCTGCTTCCGTCCTCAGTGTCGTACACGTTTCTGAAGCAAAGGGGAAGAAGAGGAGCCTCCTTATCCTGTTGGCAGAAGCTCCTCCAGCCTCAGCTCTCCCGTCACCCCCCTCTGAAGGAAACTTGCTAATTGCTTTTTCTCGTTGCAGTATTTTAACCAATATTTCGGAAGTCCATCAAAGTATGGGCTACTGTCCTCAGTTTGATGCAATTGATGAGCTGCTCACAGGGCGAGAACACCTTTACCTTTACGCCCGGCTTCGAGGCGTACCAGCAGAGGAAATGGAGAGGGTAAGCAATGGTTTGTCGTGGCAACTTAGGAATCTGGTAAATCATCAGGCTGTTTCGTAAGGGCGCAGTTACTCAGAGATGGGAACGCTGTAGAACGCGATCTGGTCATTCCACAAATGCTTACTGAGTGTCTACTGAGTGCCAAGCACTGTTCTGGAAGAGGGGGTATAGCAATGAAAAACAAAAAACAAAAAAACAGACAGACAAAATATTCCTGCCCTCGTTTCTCACAAAACAATGCATGTCTCTGTCCTTTCACCCAGAATCCCACTTCTGGGAACTTACCCTGCAGGTACGCCTCCCGCCGTACAAAATGTACGTGCACAAAGAGACTCATTGCATTTTAGTAGTAAAATACTGGAAATTACCTAACTGAATGTTCAGAGATAAGATGTTGGTTGAATAACTTAGAATACACACATGCAATACAGTCTTATGCAGATTAAAAGGCCTGAGCTGGTGGGAAATCACATCCACAACGCAAGGCCGATGTAGAGCAAAACGATTTCATTGCATGCGCCTGGGTGCAGGCGGGCTGCACCTGAAAGGGGTCGGCCTCGAGTAACAGTTGGGGTGTAGGTTATATACTCTACTTCTAGCTGACAGCAGTTCCTGCTGAGTACTCTGCCTGGCCCATTGCCACTTTGCAATTGGACTTGTCTGTTGTCTCGTCCGGCACCTGAGGGGTGATCCATTGCCTTGTGGATAATCCAGATTATCTTTATCCGTACTCAACAGAAGGCTGAGCAAAGGTCATGCAAGCAACACATTTTTTCATAGATTCTGCCTTTTGCAAGCTTTTACCTTTACCTTTTGAAACATTACTAACCCTTTCACAGATGCTTTTTTTTTTTTTTTTTTTTTTTTAGAGAACAAGAAAAATGTCTGTGAACTAATATGGAATTATTTCCAAGAGATATTTTCAAGTAAAGAAAAGCAAAGTGCAGCCTGGTCCGGCTGGCTCAGTGGATTGTTGTCCCATGGACTGAGAGGTCCTGGTTCGATTCCTGGTCAGGGCACATGCCCAGGTTGCAGGCTCAATCCCCAGTAGAGGGCATGCAGAGGCAGCCAATTGATGTTTCTCTCTCACATTGATGTTTCTATCTCTCTCTCCCTTCCTTTCTCTCTAAAAAAGAAAAGCAGAGTGTAAAAAAGCACATGTATAATGCTTTCTAATGTAAAAAAAAAAAACTAGGGAAAGTAAGAAAGCATATATATGTCTGCTTACCTTTACGCACAGAAAGGATAAACCAGAATGCAATAATTCCCATCGCTGACCAAAGGGAAACGAGAGGGGATGACACTTCTCCGAGGACATCTTTCGTATAGTTTTGATTTTGGAAGCATGTTAATAGTCTAAAAATTAAAAAATAAAACTAAATAAGAATGGAAAGGGAGTAAACATGGAAACAAAAAGAAAATCCTAACTCTGAAAGCAAACTGAAGCAACTTAATCCAATTTTATTTCAAATAAACATTATTTGCCAAAGGAGAGGAAAGAACTAATACAAATAACTGATGACTCAGCACTTCACTATATATCCGCAGACTTCAGTAAGAGGAGCAGAATTTAAAAACTACAAACAGATTCTGAGCTCTTTTTAGTCTATTTTTTATAGTGGCATGGGCAAAGCAGTTCTGAAACAACCGAGATGTGTTACAGGATTAAGTAAATGAATAAATGTGTTAACGTTGTTGGAAGCCAGAGTTCACTGTGGAAGAGGGGACATACAAATGTGGAAAAGGAGAAAGCAAGAAATTACCCTGTGGGGATAGATTGGAATTGGAATTGTAAACTCATGAAATATTTACATGCATGAGTTTGTGCATGCATGCATAATGTGTCCCTGTATATTGTACATATGCATGTATATGTGTGTAAGTTTGTGTATATGTATAACTGAAAGGGCTAAGAAGTAAAATGATCTCAGCAGCAATGAGTACACTTAGTGCCCAAATTTTGGTATCTAATCCCATTCCCCACTGAAAGAAGCTATGACTCTTCAAATAAATGGCACATTCCAGGTCTGGGACAGCATAGGTATTAAATGGGCCTGGAAAATCTTAGGCCAAAAGTAAAGAAGTGCTTAAGAACAAAACGGTAGAGGCGTGTCACAAGTACTCCCAATGGCCACATATGGGGCAATTTGGGCATCAAAATAATTAAATACCATGATAAAGTATAAAACACAGGGAGGGATAGGAATTCATCCTAAGTCAATGCTGTTAAATAGATAATAAATAAATAGGAGAGAAGGGAGGGTCTTGCTTGCAGTAAAATACAGAGGCAGTTGTTTATACGGAGGAAGTTATGGAGTTGAAAAATCATTTTGCAACGATTATAGCAAGGATTAGATTACACAAGAATCATCAATGGTTGCTAAATCTAGGGGAAATTTTTTATAAGTAGCAAAATATTTGTGTGGTTTAAAAATATCTTCTATGAATTGCTTATTGGTTGAAAGGGGGGAAGCATAATCATTTTTCAATGGAGGAATTAGACAACATCTTAACTGGGTGACCAAAATTAACATTTCCTGAGAGGCAGACGAATAGCTCATGCCCACAGATGCAATGCCCTGAGAAGGACACAATGTCACCTACGTAATTCTGATGGGAATGCATAAACCTGCATCTCACCAAGAGAAAACATCAGATAAACTCTAAAGTAGTGGTTCTCAACCTTCCTAATGCCGCGACCCTTTAATACAGGTCCTCGTGTTGTATGTGGGTGTATCTGCATGTGGGTGGACCCGCCTGGAGATGGATAGAGGAGCTGTGTCTCGGTTCCTAAGACCATTGGAAGTATGTGTTTTCTGATGGTCTTAGGCGACCCCTGTGAAAGGGTCGTTCGACCCCCAAAGGGGTCGCCACCCACAGGTTGACAACTGCTGCTCTAAAGGAACATGCTATTTTAAAAAATACAGGGGCTGTAATCTTCAAAAGAATCAAAGTCATAAAAGACAAAGAAAGCAAAGAAAGGCTATGGAAATGTTCCTGAGCACAGGAGGCTAAGTAGACTCAGTGACTCAGTAATGAACTGCAGACAAAATAATGCAACAAAGGACATTATTGGGCCAATGGACAAAACTGAACTATGAATGGTAGATCAGAAAAATATATAATAACATTGCTAAATTTACTGACACATATAACTGTTTTGTGGTTATGTACAAGAATAACCTTATTATTAAAAAAAAAATAGACTCTGAAGTATTTAGGAGTGAAGGGCCATGATGTATCTTTAGGGCTGAAAAAATTGTGTGTGTGTGTGTGTGTGTGTGTGTGTGTGTAAGAGAGGGAGAGAATAAAGGGTTTATGAGTGTTATTTTTACTATTCTTATTTTCACACTTTTCTGTAAGTTGGAAACTATTCCAAATAAAAACTTGAAAATGGAGCTTACATTCTAGTGGGAGGGACAGACGATAATAGGTAAGTAAAATATACAGTATATTTGTTAATGAGAAGTCCTTGGGAGAAAAATAAAGCAGGGAAGACTCGTTGGCATCGGGTCTGTGCACTGAGGTGGGGTGGCCCAGGGGAAACCTCCCAGAGGAAGTGAACTCGAATGGAGACATAAAGGAGCTGAAAGGGACCACGTGGATATGTAGGGGAAGAACATTCCAGGCAGAGGTACAATTGCACAAGGCAGAAGCTGGTGGGTTTGTCTCCAGTGACTTCCCTAGTTTTATGCACACACACACACACACACACACACACCTGTTATTCTCCATCATAGTTCCCTATTGAGTTCCCTCAAAGCACTGTTAGAGTCTGTCATTATTCTGTTTCGATTGTTTGTTGCACCAACCCCATCTGTGAGTACAAGGTCAATGGCTATGTTTACCATTACCCTCCAGTGCCTAGTACAAAGCCTGGCTCATAGTGGGTGCTCAATGCATATACTTTTGATGCACAAGATCTCAAGTGTGACCCTGTTGAAGGGTGGAATCAATGAGCCCCACCATCTTCTCAAACAGACCCTAGGACTCTTCTTCTTTCCCACCTAGCCATAGTCCGGGACACTGGGTCCTGCTCTTTGTAAGTCTGAAGCTCGCTTCTCAGGGGGCTGCACCCAGTGGGTGCTGAGCTGACCAAGCTGGGATCCAAGGCACAGAGTGGAAAGACTTCTGCTCCTTGAAGGTGTGCCGAGAGAACACGAGCCAGCAGGTGGCACTGTCATCCTAGATGTGTGAGATCTGGGAGCTCAAGGCTTGGAACTGGTGGAGGTCTGAGATGTCTGCTTGTTTCTCTTTCCCAAATGGGTATCTTGCTCTCCCCTAGGTGGCAAGCGGGAGTATTCAGAGCCTGGGCCTGTCCCTCTACGCAGACCGCCTGGCCGGCACCTACAGTGGAGGCAATAAGCGGAAACTCTCCACAGCCATTGCCCTGATCGGCTGTCCACCGCTGGTGCTGCTGGTGAGGGGCCGTGGCCTGTGGGGACGGGCGGGCCCAGGGCTGGGAACAGGTGCTGCGTCTCTGTGGGTGGCTCAGCAGGCAGAAAGGCAGCAGTCTGCTTTTGTCTGGACTGTTCCCTATAGTACTTATTTTTTTTAGCAAATCAGCCGTGTTTGGTTCACAGCCCTGGGGGAAACGAGTCACAACACATTCTCACTCTATTCCTGGGAAATGTGTTGTGGGGCCGTCAGCCCCCAGCAGGGAAGTTCAGCCCCTCCGGGGAAGGTCAGTCCGCTGGGAAATGACCCCTGCCAGAGCAGGTCTCTCTGGGGTTTGAAGTGGACGGAGCACTGGCCTGGGCCCGAGGCTCGTGTGACTCTCGCTCAGAGCCCGAGGCCCTGTGCTCACAGGGTCTGGGGTTTATGAGGCCATGGGTCTCAGGACTGGGAGGGAACCAGAAAGTCACCTAAGCTCCTTGCAAACGTGTGTAAGATTTAGGGATTTTGTTTGTTTGTTTGTTTCCTTGTTTGTTTTTAAGGAAATTCTGCCTTGCCTTATCAACTTGAACCGTTTCTGGGATGAAATGGGTCTATAGGTGTGCATGATCTGTCTTGACTCCCCTGGTGCACCACCTGCCTTCCACTCTGCCTGGGTTCCTGGTCTCAGCCCCACTGGGGAGTGACTTGTGCCTTGTCTGTCAGAGATAATGCTCAGAGGAAGCCAACCACGGAAGGTGCCCTCAGCCAGGCCCTGCCCTCTCTGCCTCCCCACAGGACGAGCCCACCACGGGCATGGACCCGCAGTCACGCCGCATGCTGTGGAACACCATCGTGAGCATCATCAGAGAAGGGAGGGCCGTGGTCCTCACCTCCCACAGGCAAGAGCTTCCCAGGGGCTGGGGTGGATCAGGCAGGCGGGCAGGAGCCCCGCCCCTCACCTCCTCTCTCCTACCCGGCAGCATGGAAGAATGTGAGGCCCTGTGTACGCGGCTGGCCATCATGGCGAGAGGCACCTTTCAGTGTCTGGGCACCATTCAGCACCTCAAGTACAAGTAAGGAGACAGCGGGGCAGAGGGCACCTTCGTTACCTTCCTTGGGGGTGAGGGTTCCACCAGGCCCTGTGCTCTCTACCGACACTTGGGAGTGTCCTGCTGTCCTCACCCAACGGGCAGAGTTAGGTGGTGGCCAGGCCTCATTCTGCAGCAGCAAATGGAGAAAGCCGTTGTGCTGAAAGAAACTCTCGTTATTGGGCTGTGCCTGAAGGCTCCCAGGTCTCCAGATGGAGCGTTCTGATTGGGGCTCGTGCAGAGCCTGGCGGGGGTGAGGGAGAGTAACCACCACCACCTCGTTATCCTGCCACGGGTCCCGAAAATTCCAGGACTGATGACCTATTTAATAAGAGCCCACTACCATCTTAGGGACGGTTAGGAGACCAAATAGCCTGAGTATTAGGTTTTCTTTGTGGCATGTCGTAAACTTCGGAGTTTGAGAAATGACCGTGTATTATGCAACAAACCAAAAATACCGGTAATCTTCAGTACCTTGTGCATTGTGAACGGCTGTGAATCGTGTGGTACTAACAATGGTTTGTCAGCCAGGGTGCCAGTCAGTTACAATAAGATTACGACCACAGTGCCAGGCCATACCCCCCGCACTCTGATCCACATTACAGACTAGAAAGGGTAGATTTCGGTTTGTCACTTGTTTGTTTAACAAATGCCTTTTGAGAGCCCGGAATATAAGAGTCGCCGTGCTGGTTGGTGAAAGGAACAGCACGTAGCCCAGCTTCTCTGTGGTAAATGTGCCCATGGCAGCCCGTGGACAGCCCACCACGCCCCCAGGAAGCAGGGCGGGTGGTGACTGAGAGGAAGCCTAGCAGGTCAGCTGCAGTTGGGTGTCTGACCCGTGGTTTCTGAGCAGCTGCAGCTTGGACACTGCGCAGACCTCTAGGGGGGCGTCTGCATGTGATGTCACCAGACCTGTGCCAGCAAGTTCCTGTGTCGGCTGCAGGAGACATGGCTGTTCCCACCTCCTTTCCCTGTCGCTCTTCACTGTCCCCGTGGGAGGGCAGGCAAGACGGGGCTGATCCTCGTGTGAAGGGACAGTCTTCCAGAGCTGAAAGGTACAGGCATCTATGTGAAGGGAGTAGCCCTTGGTCGCGGAGGGAGACTGGGTACGTTACAGCCGACCCGGTGATACTGGGACGTAAGCGTGCAGGGCAGCCAGCTGGCCGTGAACACTCTGCGGTGGACATGCTTGATCCACATGGGGCCACTGGCTCACCTGATGAAGGGAGGAGGGAAGCACCTGGCCCTGGTGGCTCCATTTGTTCTGGAAATTTCCACAGAGAAGGTGCTGCCTTTCCAAGCCTTTGCTCCCACCTGGCCAGCTCCTTTTTTTTATCCTCGAGTACATTTTTGCATTTATCTTCAGATAGAGCGGGAGGGAGAGAGGGAAGAAGAGAGAGAGAGAAACATCGACGTGAGAGGGACACATCGAGTGGTTGCCACGCACACGATCCCATCGGGGCCGGGGACAAACTGCAACCAAGGTACGTGCCCTTAGCGAGAACCGAACTCGGGACTCTCTGTTCCGCAGGCCGACGCTCTAACCGCTGAGCCAAACCGGCCAAGGCCACCTGGCCAGCCTCTTAAAGGGCCAGACAGCCTTCCCACCACTGAATGCACACTGGGCCCACCTGCTCCGCAAGCAGGCCAGTGATCTCCGGAGGCAGGACGCTAAAACCACCTTGACTTCAGCATACACGTGAAAGGGAAAGGAGAGGGAGCGTCTGTGCCTGCAGGAGCTGCAGCAGGACGCCGGGGCATGGGTCTGGCGACTCACTTCACCACACATGCACACATTCTGAAAACCAGCATCAGGCTCTCTCCAGGAACTGCCAAGGCTTTCTCCCTCCTAGTTTTAAACATGCACGAAAGGTTTATAGTGCGGCCTCGAACCCCCCATGTTTTTGATGAGTCTATTCCTTATTTTGAGACTGCCTGAGAGCCTACCACTAACAGGCCTGTCCCACACCGCTGTGGGCGTCCCCTAGGTTTGGAGACGGCTACATCGTCACAATGAAGATCAAATCCCCGCAGGACGACTTGCTTCCCGACCTGAACCCCGTGGAGCAGTTCTTCCAGGGGAACTTCCCGGGCAGCGTGCAGAGGGAGAGGCACCGCAACATGCTGCAGTTCCAGGTGCCCGCCTCCTCCCTGGCCCGGATCTTCCGGCTGCTCATCTCCCACAGGGACAGCCTGCTCATCGAGGAGTACTCGGTCACACAGACCACGCTGGACCAGGCAAGCGCGGAGGTGCCGGGCGCAGGGCAGGGCTGTGCGAAGCCTGGGCTGGAATCCTCCCCACAGGGACGCGAGATGTGACCTCTGCTCCATCTGTCCCTGAGGGTCGAACTCGGTCTCTCGGGAACTGTTGTCTCACACTCTTTTAATCATCAGCAAATTTCACTGACTTTACATCATCCTTCCCCACTACACTATGACTCTGTTTCATCCTTCCTGGTTGGTGGTGGTGGTTTTTTTTTTTTCTTTTTCGAGTCAACTTTATTGATGCTTAATTTACATACAATAAAATGCACCCATTTAAGGTGTACAGTTCAGTGAGTTTTGACAAACATGTGTGCCGTGTGTCAGGTTTTTAAAATGGGATCGTTTTTTATTGTGGTAAAATATACATAATTACCTATTTTAAGTGTACCAAAAGCATTAAGTACATTCATATTGTTGTGCAACCATCAGCACCAACCATCTCTAGAAATGGTTCATCTTCCCAAATTACAGCTCTGTATCCCTTCAACGATAGCCCTCCAACCCCCAGCCACTTGTAACCGTGGTTCTACGTAATGCTGCCCACTCCACACAGAAGTGGAATTATGCAGTATTTTGCCCCTTTTTGTCCAGCTTATTTCACTTGACATACTGTCCTCAAGGTTCATTTATGTGGTAGCACATGTCAGAACGTCCTTTCAAAGGCTGAGTGATATTCCATTGCATGTACATATCATGTTTAATTTATCCATTCATCCATCTGGACATTTTAGTTGTTTCTGTTTGTTGTTGCTGCTGCCGTGTGTTTGTTTTAAACAGTCATCCTTAAAGATGTCAGTGGAAATAGGCGAGTGTCCATCTGTCCTCGGAGGAGCTGGCTCACCAGCACCTTCGGAGCCAGAAGCAGATGCAGGCAGGAGCGGGAGTCATGGCACACTGAGTAAAGTACAGGGATGAGATTAGACTCCTGTTGTTTTGTTTTCAGTTTCTTCTTCAGGGGTTTAGAAGGATGCCGCTACTTGAAATCTGCCTTGTTTATATACCCCGCATCCTTTGGATCCTCCCTTAGGAAGTCCTTTGGCTTAGCTCAGAATTCTAAGAAACAAGCCCGTGGCCGGGCTCCCTCGGGTGGGCCAGCCTCCCCTCCTGCAGCACCCACGCTGCTTCGGCAGGGCCGCCTAGTAACTGTGGAAAGGAGAAAGCAACGTGGGTGGGTGGCTAGATGAGTGGATGGTACCATCTTTCTGGAAACATACCTATTCTGGCTCATTTCTTGCCTTCAGGTATTTGTGAACTTTGCTAAACAGCACACTGAAACTCACGACCTCCCTCTGCACCCCCGAGCTGCTGGAGCAAGCCGACAAGCCAAGGTACCCCACCACACTTTTCCAGTCCACGGCTTGGTCCTGGGCCGAAGGGGCTCCAAGGCCCAGATGTGCCCCCCGCAGACAGCCCTGCCCAACCACACACACCGCATGTCCTCACCTAGCCCACCTTCCCGTTCTGCGCTAAAGGACTGTGCGGAATTCCTTCAGTAACCAGGAAGCCATCCGGATGGAGTGGGAGAGCATATTTAAAAGGAATTTCCCCACCTGTTTTTGCTTTCAGCAAAAAGAATTTAGAGTTTGGAAGCAGGAAGCAGGGAAAACAGGAGAGAATACGGAAATGCCTAGATTGTTGGGAGACCTGACAGCTGTGTCTGGTCACCAGTCTGCATTTCAGAGGAGAGGTACTAAGTGGCTCTCACTTCAATGGTGGACGCATTTGGTTAGAGCAAGGAGTGTTGTCTGTTCTAGGAAGAGGACTCTGTCCTTTATAACATTATCAAGATGACAGAGGAAGAAGCAATGGAATGTATGGACCCTGGCATGTGGTGACCCATGGGGTACGTGCTTCCAGGTTCCTGCCCTGGCGTGGGGCCCAGCCCATGCAAGGAGCACTCCCACCCACCCCGGTTCCAGAGAGAGAGAGAACATTAGGGAAAAGTACTGGAGGAGGCGCCAGGGTTCAGGTGCTTTGTTTTAAGCCTGAGATTATAAAGGGACAAATTAACTCAGTCACTAGACTTACCTAGAGAGTAAATCAAATAAAACCAAAGCACTTTTCCAATCAGCAAAGATGTGCAAACCCTTATTTCCCATACAATTCTCATTCCCCCCACCAATTTCTTAATTGCAAGAAAACCCCAGTCCCGCTAATGATGGAAACACTCCGTTCCAAGGTCACATTTATGATGAATTTCCCCCTTCCTTTGGACTAGGAGAGAACTAATGGCTACTTGGCAAGGTTGCCTTTGCCTCCCATCCCCCCAGAGGGCCCAGAAATGTCTGAGTAAAGGTACCTGTCCAGGGAAAGTTAGGTTTGCTAAGATTTTCCAGCCACTCTTTGTCATATATAGGTCTTGAACTTGCTGTTTACATCTATAGAAAATTATTCTTTGAAAGCAATTTGCAGTTATGAATCCCTCGTATAACTCAGAATACATTATTAGGTAGCAAAAGTGTTGCCTAGAACTACCAATGTCTTCTCTTCCCCCACCTGGCATATTCTCTCTTAAAGGGCTAATACCAAGCCAACTTTGGGCCAGGCAAGGAGGCTGATGGTCTATGATCTGTAGCAGTTAATTTTAAACCTGCCTTCTTGGCTTTGAAGACAGGAGGAGCCTGGTAACTTCCTTGGGAGAAAGGCAAAGCTAGGGAGACCATGCCAGCCTTCGGAAACCTTTGGAGGGTGTGGCGTCCCTCTAAGACGTGAGCACATATGCGCAGAGAGACTGTGAGTCTTCGTGACGTCTGCACCATAAAGCCAGACAGACCCGAGGGGTCATCAGGCCAAACTGTTCACAGACATGGACACAAGCACAGCCCACAACCTTGGGGATCTGAGAGGATCACAGTGCCCTTGGTGGAGCTGCCAACAATTAATTGATGGCTATGAAACTTTTAAAATCTAAACGCTGTTGCACTATCTCTTTAAGAGACCGAGATGACAGAAGTCTGCCTGACCTCTTTCCGCAGGTCTGATCTCCTTCACACTGCTCATTCGCTGCAGCCGGAAAGGAACTCTGGGCAGCTGGAGGAGCGGGAGCCTCGGCCACAGGCTCGTCCGAGCCGACCACCCGGCACCAGTAAGGCCTCGGCAGCAGAGCGAACACGGGGGCACACAGAGAACTCCGAAAGGGGCTTTTCCAGAAGGAGCCAAACTCATTCATTTGGGACAGCTGTAGGTGAAACTGACCCTTCCCATTCAGACCACAGAGTAGAAGTCCCAGTTCATCCTTCTAGTAGCTTTGATCTCAACATCACTCTCCCTCCAAGTGGATCTGCTTTTCTCTGTGTGTATGGTGTCAGTTTTATGTTTAAGGAGAAATAAAATGCAGACATATCTATCACGCACTATCTGAGTCCACTGGTCTCGCTGGGATGCACCGTCGGGTGTAGCTGGGACATGATCTGTGCCCGTGTAGCTTGCGGTTGCCGCGTGAGCTTCTGCGCCGGTTGTTGCGGCGGGAGTGCCGGTCAGGGCAGAATTCTCAGCACTGGGGTGCAAGTGAATGGACCGGTCGGGTCCTTGTCAAGTTGCTCCACAGGACTGGAAGGGAACTCTCACTGGCAATGCCCGCGGACATTGCCCATGGTTAGCGGGGTGTTACTTGGATCTAGCTTTCATGTGTTTGCTCTGCTTATCTGAGTGCCTGCCTCGTAGGTGTGGTTGCCACAGGAGAAGAGGAAGGGCAGGTGGGAGTGGGTCTCCGGTTGGCTGTGAGAGGCGACGTGTCTTTGTGACTGTTTAAAGATGTCCAGACCTTGCCCTGGCTGGTTTGGCTCAGCGGTTAGATCATCGTCCCGCGGTCCAGAGAGACCCGGGTTTGGTTCCAGGGCTTATAGGATTTCTAATTGTTTGCGGAAACTAACCAAGAATCAGAAAACGAATAGTGGTTCTGAATCAGACCATTTCAGTGACTTGTGGACCAGGAGAAGAAATGGGCCCCCTTGCCAAGGCAGTCTCCTCTGCACACCCCTCGGAGAGCCTTCCTAGTTCCCACAGTCCGGAGCCCTGAAGCGCACTGCGCGTGGCCGCACCCCAGAATCCGGGCGGGGCGGGGGGGAGAGGGAAGAGGAAGAGACGGCCGCTGGGACCTGGAAGACAGTGCACACCAGGGGCTGCCGTTTCTCCTGAGAAGCAGAGCCCTGTGTTTCCTCAGAGGCAGACGGAGGGCCAGGGGCTGCACCCTTTTAAATCCCGCACAGCGACTGCTGGCCACTCTGCAAATAACTATAGAGTTTATAAAACTGGTAGCCTCTGAGCGTAATCTGGTTTTGACTTTTTTTAAAAAAGTCTACCAATGACCCAAATCATAAAACCATTTTAACTAGGGTTACATTAGAGTTGAGGAACACCCAGGAGTGTGTGTTGATGGCCAGCATCTTGCTATTGCCTCCTGGCTGGTTTTGTCATTTAAATGAGCAACTACAACATCACAGGGACACAGGCAAAGCTGGGAGCAGGGCCAGCTGTCATTCGCGGTGTGGTGGGTTGTGAGATTTGGTTGTTGGTAGACCTTTGTAGAGAGGCCTCATGGACTGGAAAGAGTCAGGAACTGTAATATCTCCCCCTGCAGGAGGAAAGTTCAGCTTAGCTGTCTGTCTCCCCTCCACCTGAGCTCTCCAATAGCAGAGGCTGTGCTTTTTTCAGTCACATTCCCCTGACACACGGAAAACACTGAACAGATGCTTGCCAAACTGACTACTATAAAAACCGAGCAAAAAAAAAAAAATACAGAAAAAAAGTAGGTCCAAGAAAACGATGCCTTCGAAAAGCTAAAGACAGTGGCAAAGGGCAAGCGGAGCAGCAGGATGCTGGACTTGAACAGGTATCAGCCACAGATCATGAGCATGGGAGAAATCGAGGAGGCATGCCCACCGCGGGCTTGGGTTTGAGGAGTCTTCACGTTGGTTTAATAAGGGAGATTCACAAAGAGGAGGAGAACATGGACAGCATCCATGCAGAAAGTAGGCCACTCGGGGGTGCTCCAGGAGTGTGGCTTGCTGCTGGGTTTCTAAGTTCGTTCTTCAGGGAGCTCAAGGTTTTGGATTAGCTGGGATCCAAAGAGAATCTCCCTCGCTCTGGGTCAAAAGCTCATGGAGAGCTTCGTGTTGCCTGCTGCTATGGCTTAGGGAAGAGCGAGGGAGGGAAAGGGGTCAGACAACAGGTCAGCACCGCTCTGGGCTTGAAGAAAGTGTCTCTGCGACACCCTGGGCACTGGCGCCAGGGCCACCAGGAGGAGTTCCGCACCAGCAGGCCTTTGGGGCTAATGGAGGAGAGAAGATTTCCCCCTGGGAGTGTGGCCGCATCACCCTTGAGGGACAGCTGCTTCAGGCAGCAGGAGGACTCAGCCCGCTGGGCCCCCGCCTTCCAGGCTTGGTTTCCTCGATGCAGCAACTCCGTGCCTCAGGGGAGTGCCCCAGGTGACCAGCTTGTGCCCCCTGACGCTCACAGGGCAAAGCTGCTACCACATTTTGTTTAAGGTACTTGTCAAGGTCGGGAACGCTTAGGTGCTAGGGGTCTCAGGGTCCCAGAATGACAGGCTTGTAGAGCTAGAAAATATCTCCGTTTAAAAAAACTAAACCTGTATTGTTTGTTTTGCACTGTTTTCATGGACAAGGAAACCGAGTCTCAGAAAGGTGAGTTTACTCGGCTGGCCATCCTGCCTTCCCTGAGGGCCCAGGCTGGTCCTCCTCCAATTACTTCGCTCCCATGACCATAGAGAAATGCCCACCAGAACCAGAACCAGAATTCCCCACCCAAATTGCCTAAAGCCTGCTTTGGGGGGTCTACACGGGCCTCTTTCTTGGGTCAGAGGTGGTCCTGGTCATGCACATGGCTCATGAGGACCCTTGGAAAACCGAGAGGGATGACGAGGGGGTGAGCTGTGAGACACCTGGTTCTGCATCAGCAGACGCACAGACGTTTTATTTGACCCATTGCTAACGTCCGCTTTGGTTACTTTATTGCAGAGAAGTCTGTCAGACTTCTCCACTGTAAAGTTACTCTTTTATCCTTTTAATTAATAAGTATTTTGTGGAGATGTGTTTTAGAGACTATGTAAATTATGCCGTTCCTCTTCAAACATTAATATAATCATTTGGTTGTTTGTTTTCTTAACCTCTGCATGGATTCATGGTTTCTTATTTTATGCACTGGATTTAATTCTTTACGATATTATTTATTTTAGTGCGCAATTTGCCTCTGATTTAGCCAATGGAAATCCATCAAGCTGGCTTCTGTGTCCTTTGGACACACTTCACATCATTCTTCGAGTGCTTCCTTGCTGTTTGGCGGATCAAGCTGTTCACCTGTCATTTCCCAGCTGAAACCAGTCGTTTCCCAGGGAGCCCCGGTTCCCCTGGAGGAAACGGTATCGAGAAGCCGACATCCAGACGCTCTCACTGGGCAGTTAGAGCTACGTATGTGTGAGCACAGATAGAGAAGTGGGTGGAAGGCTGGATGAATAGACAGATAGCCAATTTCTTATATTTATTACTCTATATATCAGTGTTTGTGCTGACAATCATGAATTCACACTGATACCTCCGATTCCAATCCAACAACACTGGATTCACTTTTATTTTCTACCTTTTTTTTTTTTTTTTTTTTTAAATCCTCACCTGCGGATATTTTTCTATTTATCTTCAGACACAGTGGGAGGGAGAGAAAGTGAGAGAGAAAAAACATCAGCATGAAAGGGACACATAGACTGGTGGCCTCCCGCACAACCCGGACCAGGGCTGGAAACGAACTGCAACTGAGGTACGTGCCCTTGTCCGAAATCGAACCTAAGAGTGTCTGCGGACCGACACCCTACCGCTGAGCCAAACTGGCCAGGGCCCGTTCCATATTTTTAACTCCCTTCTCTGACAGGCTGGCTCTATCTATAATAAATTTATATACATATTTGCTTATTTAATCAACCCCCTGGATGTAACTCATCTCCCACTTCTGCCACCATTCTTGTGCCCACACAGATTCCTCCTCACCTGGCTGGGCTCTGACCACACCTGTCCACCTTCCCACACGGATCCCTCCTCACCTGGCTGGGCTCTGACTGTCCACACCTGTCCACCTTCCCACACGGATCCCTCCTCACCTGGCTGGGCTCTGACTGTCCACACCTGTCCACCTTCCCACACGGATCCCTCCTCACCTGGCTGGGCTCTGACTGTCCACACCTGTCCACCTTCCCACACGGATCCCTCCTCACCTGGCTGGGCTCTGACTGTCCACACCTGTCCACCTTCCCACACGGATCCCTCCTGACCTGGCTGGGCTCTGACTGTCCACACCTGTCCACCTTCCCACACGGATCCCTCCTGACCTGGCTGGGCTCTGACTGTCCACACCTGTCCACCTTCCCACACGGATCCCTCCTCACCTGGCTGGGCTCTGAATGTCCACACCTGTCCACCTTCCCACACGGATCCCTCCTCACCTGGCTGGGCTCTGACTGTCCACACCTGTCCACACCTGTCCACCTTCCCACACGGATCCCTCCTGACCTGGCTGGGCTCTGACTGTCCACCCTGTCACCTTCCCAACACGGAGCCTCCTGACCTACGGCTGGGCTATGACTGTCCACCCCTGTCCACCTTCCACACGGATCCTATCACCTGGCTGGGATCTGAATGTCAACATGTCCAACACCGTCCACCTCCCCACGGATCACTCCTCACATGGCTGGGCTCTGCTGTCCACCACCTGTCCACCTTCCCACACGGGATCCTCCTCACGGCTGGCTCTGACTGTCCACACCTGTTAACCTTACCACACGGATCCTAATCACCTGGCTCGGGCTATGAGTACCACAAATTCACCTTACACACGGACCTCCATCCCTCACCTGGCCTGGGCTCCTGACTGTCACACCTGTCCACCTTGCCACACGGATCCCTCCTCACCTGGCTGGGCTCTGACTGTCCACACCTGTTCCACCTTCCCACACGGATCCCTCCTCACCTGGCTGGGCTCTGACTGTCCACACCTGTCCACCTTCCCACACGGATCCCTCCTCACCTGGCTGGGCTCTGACTCTCCACACCTGTCCACCTTCCCACATGATGCCATCCTCACCTCACTTAGTCTCTTAAACCCCATCCAGGGTCACTGAGGCTCCTGCTCAGCTCCACATGGACATCTACCCTGTTCTAGCTCACTTAATGGCCTTAAAAATAATTTTTTCAGGAAAGAAAGGGAACTGAAAAGGAAAGGAAGAATAAGTGGAGACTACATTTGAAAAGCCAACCTGAGAAATTTAAGATATAAGACACTGTCTTCATCATGTTGGGATAAGAAACATTTTCTTAAGCAATAATGT